GCTCTGTCCAACACGCATCTGTCCCCTGCATGGATTGAATGATGCAGATGTAAGTTGGATCTTTAACTCAAATAATAACATAATACAAAAGATGCTTGTGCTTTGATCTATGATATCTCTGCCTGGTTTTGTATTTGTTCTTCTGATGGAGAAAGGTATTTGTTGTAAGGAGGCCATGCTGAATACACTTTTCCAGATGATGAAGACCAATTGCATTGGCATTTCCCATCTGGTTTTTCCCAATAGTTCATCTCCACACGTCTGGGTCATGGCTAACCCTGACACTGAAGCCCCCGAGGAGAAGGATGTTTTCTTCTTTGGTGAAAGCATTGAGAGCTTTGAGGTTAAAATAGAACTTTTTCTTAACACTTTCATCTGAGTCAAGGATTGGGTCCTAGGAGCTGATGTTAATGGCAATATTGATTATGGTTGAACTGGAGGTGAACCTTTCTTTTACACAATTGGAAAGTTCTGACAGTGCATTCAAGATCCAATCAATATCACGCAACCAGCTGTATGGACATAAGATTTGTAGTAGTTGATGTATCCCCCTTCTTGTTAGTTTACCGATCCCTCCCCAGGAGGGGGAGTATCACTGAGAGCAGCAAAGTAAAATTTATAGAGTCATAGAGATCTACAGCCCAGAAAAAGGGCTTTGGACCCTCATTGTCCATGGTGGTCAAAAACAACTACCTAACTAGTCTAATCCTATTTTTCAGCACTTGGCCTATGGTCTTGAATGTTTTGGCATCACAAGTGCATTTCCAAATTACTGCTTGAATATTATGAGTGTCTGCCTCTACCACCTTTTACAGGTCATGAGTTCCAGATTTTCACTACCCTCTGGGTTAAAAATAAGAAAGGATTTTCTTGACATCTCCTTTAAACCTTCAGCTCCTTACCTTAAATCTGTGCCTGGTGATCATTGATAATGGGGAAAAGTCTTCTTTCCTGTCTCCTCTATCTATGCTCCTCACAGTTTTATACATCTCGATCAAGTCCCCTCAATCCTCTCTGGTTTAAGGAAAAGAACTCAGTCTGTCCAATCTCTCTTCATAACTGAAACTTCGCAGCCCAGGCAACATCCTGGTAATTCACTGTTGCACCGTCTCCAATGTTATCACATTCCTTCTATAATGTGTGTTCCAGGACTGTACACAATATGCTGGCTCTGGCCTAACCAGTGTTTTATACAGTTCTAGCATTGAGTTTTGTATGTTGATGATATGACTGTAGTTCCTCTCTCTGGACAGTCACTATCCTTTCGAGTTCTAAGATTAAGTTGCAATATTTAGAATTTGATTTCTTTCATCACAGTGATAATGCTGCTGCATGGTGTGGTTCCTTAACCAGCAGAAAGTGGAACGTCCGTTTTATAGGGTAACTTTTCTGGCCTCTGTCACCCAGGGTGAGGAAAGGGTCTACAGCTCAGTTACAGATGGTGTTGCCTGAAGACATCTCTGTCTCAACAGGTGTCCAGTAACCTTCATGCCCACATTGATTAGGAACGCCAAGATTCACAGCCTCATCCCTGTCATCAATTCACCATCGTCACAGAACTTGGCAATGAACTGTGGTAGATTTTTGTGCATGTCTTCACTTAGCATGAGGATCTTGTGGCACCATAACTGCCCACATGATCTTCATTGGTTAGTTTTCGGTGACCTGTCAAGCCACAATGACCATGACAACCATGCTGCATCAGCTTTCTTCTTTCGCAGCTGGTGAGATGGATAATCTTTGTCTGTCCTGCTTTGAATACTTTTTGGACAATACTTTGTATAGCAGCACCCCAGACTTCGGCACCATGGGTGGCATTACGAGGAGAAAGGAGCTCCTGACAGCCTTGCTTAAGCGACCCTTGAATATTCTCCACCAACTGAAGGCAGTAAATTATGTTTTTTTTGTATTCCTAGAAAATTGATATTTAGCTACTTACAACACCTAACTCAGATCTGTCTGTACGTTTTTAAATTAAACTTCTTTCTCTGTGAATTATAGGCAAGTGTTTCAGGTTAAACCATACTAAGTTGCATTCTGCTCTGTGATGTCCAGTACAATAGAAATATTCTGTCAAATGTTTAATATTGATTTGAGAAAGAAGGACTTCCATTTCTATTTTAACTTTGACAACCTCAGGATGACCAAACTGCTTACCATCCAATGAAGTCCTTTTGATTTTTTGTGGTGGTTATTTTCTTGGAAACATACAATGCATTTGCACGCAGAAAATTCTCTCAGTCAGTCAATGACATGTTAGTGAGAAGGTATTAGTTGATGTAGTAAGCTGTTTAGTTAACTGTTTAGCTGCTGTTGAATTCCTTGGAGAGGGTGGTGAAGGTCGGGTGATGGAGCAGAGGATGGAAGGGGGTGAAGTCAGGCAGGGCTGCGAGCCTGCTCCTTGTGATTTCCGTGTTCTTCAGTAATATCCAAGTTTGAGACCATTGACTTTAGATCTCAGAAGGACAAACTGGAATTTTTTTCTTGGTGAGAGTTCTGAATGGCATGAAGAGTTGGGTTCCATTTATTGCAATGGAGAATTAAATGCATTAGCAGGGAAGTTTTACTGCGTTTGCACAAAGAATCGGTGGCACTACATTTTTTTGTCTCTGTACTTAAAAGGATATAATGACAGCAGAAGCAGTACAGGGAAGATTTACTCGACTGATTCCCAGGATGAAGGAGTTATTGCATGAAGAAAGGTTGGACAAATCTGTCCTGTTAGAAGAATAAAATGTGATTTTAATGAAATATGTAAAGTTCAGAGGGGACTTGAAAAGTTTAATGCTGAGAGAATGGGAGAAACTAAAACCGGACAACACAGTTTAAAAATAAGAGGCTGTCATTCAAGTTGATGTTGAGTATTTTTTTCAAAGGGTCATTTGCCTGTGCAATAGTCTTCTAGCAAGTAATGGTAATACTCATTCAGTTAAATCTTATTTGATTATAGATTCACAGCGTGCAGATTAGGTAAGGATGTGGAGTCAAGGCCACAATTAGATCAGCCATGATCTTAAGAAATGACAAAGCAGGTTCAAAGGGCTGAATTGCCTTGCCTGGCCCAATTTTTTTTTTTATTTTTACACCCATGAACCACTAAAACTAGTTGTTTTGTTCAGATATTTGCTGACATTTTGATATCTTCTGGCAGTTTCTTCTTTGGAACAGTTGGCATTTGCACCGCTTTTGATTTTTACTTCATTTAAGTGTTCACACTTTCTAGGGAAATCTGTCACCACTAATCTGGGGAAGTTTTTAATCTGTTAAAATTGTACTCAAAAATAAAGATGTTTGCAACATAATGTAAAATCCAGGGCACCTCAAATCAAGTGTTGGACAACGAGTTCAATATAGAACACTCGGAAAAGGCAACATTTGCATATGGAAATACATAAGTGAAAAGTGGTGACTGGGTACCATTTCAGCTGAAAGATTCAAATGATGCCAGAAGTTAAATAGAGCATGGTTTTCACTTATTTGTCATTTAAATGCCAAAATTAGAAAATTCAAATCCATATTCATGTCTAAAATTTTAATATTAATTGATCTATTATGGACCAACCATGTAATATTAAAATATTAAATAGTATTACAAAACAGTTAAGGAAGTGTGATGGCAGCAGAGAAGCAGGGCTGTGTGTGGGCTCTTGCCCAAGGCTCAACAACTCCTGCATGCTTTCTTTTTTCTTTCATTTAGCTTCTTTTTTCCTTTCATTTTTCTTCTCTTTGGAGCCTTTTGTGGCGGGTTAGTCGGTGAAATCAGCGTGGCAACTGGAGTGGGCCATGTGCGGAATAGTGGCTTTTTGCATCCTTGGAGGCAGCAGTGGCTGTGACACCTCACGGCGACTAGGGACAATGGTGGCAAAGCTGCTCCTGTGATTGGCAGCGGCAGTGGACTTTTCATGATTGTGGTGCAGCAAGGCAACATCGCGGGAGGGTGGCCAGAACGGGACTGTTGGTGAGGCAGCGGCCTGGTCTAGCAGCGACCTCTGGGGTTGCAGTAGGCCCAGAGTGGGGACTGCTGGCATTGATGAGGCGGTGACTCCAGCAGCGGTATTGTGCTTCATTCAGAGCGGCAACTGTGTAATTGAGGTGGCAGTGGCACCAGGGACTCTTGGAGGGCAATTGTGGTTTCAGCACAGGACCTGGTGACAGCGAGGTGGGCCCAGTGGCGAAGAGCTGGCACATAAAGTGAGGTGATGCCGACGTTAGTGGGGTGGCGAGGCAGTCGAGGAGGGATGGCGGCGCAAGTGTTGTTAGTGAGCTGGCTCAGGACTCTCTTTCAGTTCTATCTTTTGTCCTTTTCATTCTTAAACTATTCAAAATGGTGCTGGATTGTGACTACTGTTGAAGTTTTTCACTATTTTTACTGTATTATTCACTTTAAAATGCAAGTGACAATAAATGATAATCCTCAATTTCATCCATTCCAGTAGGTTTCTTTCGCACATTTTTCTTCATTGTTAACTTGCAACCTGCTTTCATCGTCCATGTAATTATCCATCACAGTTTCTGCTGTTACTTTTAGATCATGTTGACTTGCTCAAAATTCCACTTGGCTTTATCTGAGCATATTTTCAAATTAATTGTTACTATAGATTAGTCTATAATTTTAAAGCAATAATGTTTTTAGTTTTTAAAATGTGGTGCATATATATTGAAAGAGCCTGCATTCAGGACAGGAGTAGAGCTTATAAATATTGGAAGCATTTTGAGTAATGTTTATAAACCAGGCTTAGGATAGAAGGCTACCAGGTCTGGAATGAGATTAGGAGGGAGTTTTGAAACTTCAAGTTTTTGTGGATTGCAGTGTACTTTTTCTTTTGGCTCAGTGTGCCAGGTTTTGGCTGGTGCCAATTGGATTGCCCTCAGACATACTGACAGTAGGGGTTTAGACAATGAAATGTTGAAAAAGGAATGTTTATAAAGTATTCATTTCATATGAGCTCATTGACAGTATACAAATATAACTCTGTTTCTTTGTTCTCCTTTCCTCTTAGGTGAGGATGAGATGGATACACAAGGCGGTTGGCAACCAGTTCTATCCAGAGACTCTTCTCCTGAGGCACTAGACTTCAGCACAACCAATCGAGCTAAAGCTGAGAGAAGACTTGAACTGTCTGTGACTGTGAATGAAAGTAGCTTTGGTCAGAGTGACTCATTTGGGAGGCAGAGTGATGTTTTTAAAAATAAAGAGCAAACTTTATTACAAAGAGGACATTCTCTGTTAGATGAAGATCAAAATGACTATATGAGCTCAAGTGAACTTGTTGCTGTGCCTTTAGGGGAAGATAATGACAATGAAGTTGACTTTGATCCAGTGGACAGTCCAAGGATTCAGCACACTCAAACTAACCAAATTACTCTTAGTGATAATTTCGAAGAAGGAAATGGAGTTGAACAGGGCATATTTAATGAAGCTGAGGTAAAGAGGAGGAAGACTGAGCTTGATGAGCTAAAATATAGAAAGCAACCAGTTGAAAGCAAACATAATGAATATGCATCAGATGGTGCAAACAGTTTTGAGAAGGACTTGCTGTTAAATGATTGTGACAGGCGCTTTGAATGTGAAGATGAGAATCGGGACATTCACAAAACAACTTTGTGTAATGACAGTGAAAGTAATTTGACTTTGCATAAAACTGAACTATTTAATATTGCTGAAAATGGAGATGCTATTTCGAGAGCACGAAGTAAGCTTACTATGGGTGAAGATGAAAAGTCTGCAGCGTTATTACGCAAATCAGTTATCCTAAAAGAATCTGTTGGATTTCCAATAAAAAGATCAGAAAAGAAAGACTTTATGTCAGAGACAAGGTTAGCAATTAAAGATTGTTTGCCAACAATGGTTGACTGTCTTGCGAGAGGGGCTGTGGAAAGACATGGGGAATCTGCAAGGACTGAAGTCCTGGATAAAGGAAAAATTGAAAAGAATCGAAAAGTGCCTCGGCATGAAGATTTATCTGCAGGTTCGTTCCAAAAATGAGACGTAGTATGAAGCACAGACCCCAGTCCTAGATTAGAGAGAGTCATCAGGTCTTAGTCAGAAAAAGATGTTGCATTATTAGTCATCACTTCTATTTTGAGGAATGCGTCATAATTTACACTTCTTTTCATTATTCGTTAATTCTTGCAAGGACCAAAAGCTTCAGAGGAGAAGAGATGACAATTGGAACAATTGCTGTGTTGTAAAAACAACTCTTTTTAAAAAAAAAAAAAATGGTTTGTAAGGAATTGTTTAAAAGCTTTCAATTATATATGGAAAGCATTAGCTCTGTGTCACTTTCTCCTTTTACTTTGGATAGCATATGTTTATTTTTTGGTTGCATCAGGGAATTTGGAGGCTTACTTTCTCAATAGGCAATAATGAGGATTGTTGTTTTGTATTCACTTTACCAAAATTTGTTTACTTAATGTGACCATATATGCAGCCCAATAGATTTGTGGTCTTAAGATATTGTTCATTTCACAAGCAATGAAGAAACCTTAATGCAGTGGAATGTACAAGTGTGCAGTCAATTCATATCACTAAGCTTGTGGAACCTAGATGTTCATTTCAGCACATTTACTGTTTCTTATTTGGGTGAGTATAACCACTGAATTTTTCAGTAGTAGTATTCTTACCTTTGAGGAATGAAGTTGAGGGCTTAAGTACTACTCCAAAGACTTGAGCACGCAATCTGCACTGACTGTTCTGTGCTAAGAGTGCAGCACTGTTGAAGCTATTGCCTGTTACATTTAATTCAAACCGGGGCCCAAAGATGGATGGAAAGATTGCTTGTCACTGTTAGAAGGACAGAGAAACTCTTTCTTTGCTGTGCCAACATTTATCCTTTAACCAAAATCTGGTCATTCATCTCATTGTCTGACTTTACTGTGTGTGCATTGGCTGTGGTGTTTTTATACATTACAACAGTGACTGCCCTTCAGAATGACTTCATGTCTTTGAATGATCCTGGGAGCATGAACGATGTTACATAAACCAGAAGTCCAGTTCTTTCAGTTTTAGAAATTCATTAACCCAGCAGTTTTCTGATGCTGCTGCAAAGTAAGTAGGAAGCAGTAGATGTTTGTGCGGGAGGAACTGAAATGTTTCAAAACTAGTTTTTAACTGCAGTCAGGCAGAAGAGTTTTTTGTGTGTGGAGACACCTATGTACTTTGAAGGCGGAAAGAGATGTTGAAAGTCCTTGAACATTGAGTGCATGTAGTTAATGCCATTCTTCAATATAAAGGACCAAGCCTTCAATGACTCAGCCAAATATTAATATTTTCGGTCAACAGATCTGGTCCACTTTAAAAATGAGCAGTCAAATCCAAGCTTGCTTTTTGTCAATTAAAGGTGGATTTGCAGTTGTGATTGACATGACAGAAGGAAGTACATGCATAATGTTATGATGCCAGCAGCAGTTATTATCGGACACGTTAGACTCCTGATGGAAACCTGCTTGATAGCTCATATTTTGACTTGTTTTAGTTTAATCAAAGTTGTGTCTTGCTGAAACATCATACAGTGCTGCAGATTTTGCTTTAACAATAAAACACACGTTTATTAACAAAAGAAATGAAGATGAAATAGAATAATCCAAAATATCTACTTGTAACTCAAATTCAATGAGTTCTAAACACAGTAAAAATACAGTCCCATGATCCCAAAATGCTCCTTTATAAGTTGAAAAGAAACAAAGCAGTTTTTTCATAGTACCCAAAGCACACCCTGTAAAGGACCCAAAATGGCAGTCAGACAATACTCTCCAGAGTGCCTTATTTTGACATTTTGCTAGGTTTAGGTTACTTGCAACTTCATTTTTGTTTTGACTGGAATTGAAGATAACTTCTTCCTGGAGCTTAAAATATGTTCAGTTCTAAGTACCTTTTTCAGGGTTTTATCTCAACACTTCTCTTCTGGGACATATCTAGCTCTTCACACTAAGGTAACCTAGTTCACTATATATCCTTCCCTCTTCAGGAACACACCGGTCTCTGTAGCCATTCTATTCTGAAGACTTCAGAGGACTGCCCCATTCAAAGTAAAAGTTCAAGTCCCCTTTCCAACTATGGATGTTTCCCTTCAATTTAAAAAATAAGTTCCAGAAAACTCTTAACAAATCTTGAGGCCTCATTATTTTCTTTACTGGGTTGCGAAGCTACCTAAAATTAACAGAAGTTCCATTATTGGTACACAAAATTCATTCGCTCCTAAGCCAAGCCTCAAAACTGATTTTAACAGAAGTCACCATCGCTTCAGACATAATTACAAGTTAAAGATTAACTTCAGACATAGAAAACTCACCTCTTAACTCAAAAATCAGAAACCCAAACTGAATAATAAATAATATCAAAACGTATATAAATACCAGAGTTTACATAATAATAGAGCTTCAAAGCAAGGTATTTAGGCCTATGTTTGAGCTGTTCTTCCAGAACAGTATTTCCTTAGGTAGTTTCAGTCAGCAGCAAAAAGTAAGCTCAAAATCTTAGGGATTTAGAATGTTAAAGGCTCATCATTTTTCTGCCAGCCGAATGAGAGTTATTCTGTCGAATCCCACTTTCTACTCTTGCTTTGTGGCTCCTCTGGTTAGAACACTTCAAGTGCATACCCAAATACTTTTTATACACTACTAGGGTTTTAATGTCAAGCACACTTTTAGATAGTGACTTCCTGACACATTTCAGGCTCCAAGTGAAGAGAACTCAACTGCCTTTTAATTCTTCTGAATGTTTTAAGTGTTGTTCCTAGGCTGTTGACCTCTTTGTTGGTGGAAATAGATCCTTTCTATACACTCTGCCTAGGTCCTCATGATTCACGTTAATTAAATTTCCCTTCATCCTCTGTTCCAAAGAAAATTATTCCCAGTTTATCCAATCTATCTCCATATTTAATTTTTTAAAATATTCTTTCAGATATGATTACCATCTTCCTGTAATGTGGCTATCAGAATTGTCTGTGGAGCTCTAACATGAGTCTAGCTAGTTTCTGTACAATTCTAGGATAACCTTCCTTCTCTTCAGTGCCTGGTCTAATTGTGAAAGGTATAATTGTATGCTTTCTTAACTGTCTAATCTCTCTGGTTTGTTACCTTCGGGGATATGTGGACATGAAACCAAATTCCTTTTGTTCCTCTATGTTTCTCAATAGCCTACCATTTCTTCTATGTTACCCGCAGTCTGTCATTTCCCTGTTTGCCATTATTAGTTCCCCAGCCTAACCCGCTAAAGGCCATCATTCACTTCTCTTTTTTTTTTTGCTTTTTACATACTTACAGATACTTACATACTTACAGATTCCTATTTTATCATTTCACTTTAGCCAACTCAATATTCATGCCCTTGTATTTGCTTTGATTAAAGTTGAAGACAGTAGTTTTAGACCTCAACCTCAAAGTGAAACTCTTCCAAGTTATTATCACTAGTTCCCTAGGCGTCTTTAATACCTTATTACACATAACTGGGGAATAGGCTATTCTAGACCTGATAGGTTCCAGGATATACGATTCTCAGAAAGTACTCTGAATAAGCTCTAAGAATGTCTCCTCCAAGTTGCTTTTGCCAATTTGATTCATCCAGTCTTCTTAATCATAGATTAAAATCTTCTATGATTATTTCAGTACTTTTCTTACAAGTGCCCATTACTTGAATTATGCTTTCTCTGATAGCGTAGCTACTTTTGGGAGAGGTGTTGGGGTCAATAAACTTCTCCTACCAGTGACGTTCCTTTGCTGTTTCTTGTTTCCACTATTTCTACATTTTGATCCTTTTGAAGTGAGTTAGCGAGTGTACAGTCAAGAAGTCTGGTGTACAGTATATTGGCAGCTTTTTATTAAAGGAATGCCTTGACTTAAAAATATCCAAAGGGAATGAAGGGAAAATATGAAAAAAAATTGGTTCTGCTTTAACTTGTGAAAAGGCTATTTAAATCTTTGACAAGCAAAATAATGTTGACGTTGGAAATTTCTTGACTTGTTTATCTTTTGAATTTAATGGGGTATTCATGGTGTGTGGTGTTTACACAGGTAGTGGTCAACTGCAGGGTAAAGCTGCTTGATGCACTGAGACCAATAATCCATAAAACCTTGTATAATTTCGACTTTCCTACTGTGTCAATATTGCAACTTTATTCCAGCCATTTGACCTAATAACAAGATCATAGCTAAAATTTTTATGGATTTAGGAACATTTGGAGGAGTGGGATGAAATTCATGCGTATCAGTAACTTCGCATGCTCCAGATATTCAACTTTTTCAAACCCAGTACAGATTGATGACCCGCCTCCAGGCGCTGAACCTGATAGCAAATTGTCTGAATTCCATTCCTGCTTAAAAGCACATTGTGGCCTGTCAGCCCTGCATGTTTTGTCTCACTTAACTGTTCTGTTTCTAGCACGATGCTTATTCCACTTTGTGATTCACTGTTAACTACTCTTTTGTATCCTGGATTATCTTTGAGCGGTGCAGTGGTAAATGTATTGGTTGGCTGACAAATGTACATTAGTTAAACTCCATTATTAGGTAGCCAATAAATGTAGCTGCAAAACAACTGCTGTAATTTATGTTGTTGTGAGATGCCTTAGCTTTTCCAGTCACCAGTGCCGTTTTCCCTATAATAAGAGCCGAAGGAGTAAGCATTTAGATTGTTTGTTTCATATAGCCATACTTTCATTTACTGTAACCAAATTACTTCCCTTGCTGCACCTTTGTGCATAATTGTCAGAATTATAAATATGCAAAATCCACTTGCTTGGCTGATCTGAACATTTTTTTTAATATGCATGTGTATATGTGTGTGTGTATGTGTATATATGTCTCTCGCTCTCTCTAATAATGTTCTGTATAAACCAAGATAAATTAGATGGTACATAGTACGGTATAGGAGTGATTTATTTTTGTGATGTTCATATTTATAATTCTTCAATCAATTTTAAGGCATCTCAATGATGGTATAAAATCAAAGTACTGAAGATGTTGGAGATCCAGAATAAAAGCAGAAAGTGCTGGAGAAACTCATCTGGTGGGAAAGCAACTATGGAGAGAGAAATAAAGCCCTTTGTTTCTCTTCAGTACTTGGTGTCGTCAACCATGATCAGATTCATTGGTGGAGCAAGTTCAAGGTTGAACTGCTCCTAGTTCTTTATTTTTATATTCTCTCCACAGATGCTGCCAGACCTACTGAGTTTCTCCAGCACTTTGTATTTTCTTCAGTACTGGTATAATTTTAGTCTGGATATTGGGCAACCTGAGACCATAAACCACTTTCTGGAGTTTATTTGACTAATCTGCATCCATTACTATTGGCAGCAAAGTAATAAACTGAAATTTGGTTGGCACTACAAGGCAAGATCAGAAAACTGGATAGGAGTTATAAACTTCAGAAGCCGAATTGGAGACTGTAGTCTTTGGAATAAGCTCTCAAAAGTAGCTATATAAAAGTTACGGCATCAGGGAGATAACAAGTGGAGGTCATGTATTTTGCCACAGATAAGGAAGGAAGAACGGAGACAGCAGCCTCGTACTGTTCCTGACTGAGGCCTTGTAGTTAGTTAGTGATATTCTCTGGAGGCTTAAAGTAGCTTGAATATTTGCCTTTTCAGTTTCCAGGATTATTTCAGTGTACTTTGCATGCAAGCTCCCATTACTACTTGCTTTATGGTTTGTCTGATAGCATTCCAGGAGAAATGCTAAACAGAAAAAAAGTAAAATAATTTGGGTTCTGGTGAATTGGTTTGTCCCACTATATTGTTAGGGCTGTATTTGTTTTGTTTCAGTAATCTTTTTACTTTGTTAATGAATTGATGTTGCAATTAGCATTGTAAATGTGTATTAAATTCACATGCACGTTTTCACTGAAAGACATTCCTTCAGAAAACAACATTGACAGATACATGAGTAGGTGGAGATTTACTCCCAAGAGAATTTTACACTTAAGGGAGTGCATCAAGTAAGCAAGGGATCAGTGGGGTTTACTGCCAGTTCCTGCAGGAAATAGACCGCTTTCAAATGCCTTGCTCATTCCTTTTCTGTCATCCCCATGCGGTGGCTTTCCCCTCAGGCTATGTTGGCCTGGCCTGGGAAGCAACTTGCAAAGTGTAAATGAAAAGAGCATGCGCTGCACACTTGGTACATCTTTTCGTGCATTCAGTGATTTAAAATAAATGAAAATTTGGGCATTTTGTCTCATCCTTCTGTGAAGATGTACACCAGATGTGTGGGAGGTAGTGGAGGTAGCTCCACAGGATCTGAGAATTTGATGAAGAATATTCTTAAGTACAACCCTCTGTCCCATATTTCTGGCTGCTGCGTAAGCTGGAATGTTTTTGAGCAGCTGTATCCAAAGGACACTAAGCAAAAATAAAGAGCTGCAGTTGCTGGAAATATGAAACAAAAACAGAAATAGCTGGAGAAACTCAGCAGGTCTTGCAGCATCTTTGCAGGGGAGACAGAGTCAATGATTTGGGTGCGTTGACCCTTCTTCAGAACTCCAAAGGACATGTGGGTCTTTGTAAAGTGTAAAACAGTGCTTCCAGTAATTCTTATTTCCTCAGTCTGTGGTTAATAAATCTGAGTGGTTTGTCCATATTCTGTGTGTAGGTTTCTATCATTGCTACCATGGCCAGATGTATTCATCCGTAAGTGAAACCATAATGAAAGATATAGGAAAATAGTCAAGGATGCTCAAGAACATAATTGGTATGGATGAAGTGTGCAGGCAGCATCTAACAATTTTGCAAAGCCCTGAAATTTGCTAAGCGTGGAATTTAATGGAAATGTTTGTCATCTTGACTGAGATGCACAATTAAAAACCAGCAGCTTTTGTTAGAGAGGTGAAAAGTAGTTGGAGTCAGATATAATCCTGAAGTGTATTCTTAGTTGAAAGCTTGATGGCTTTTGTTGCAAATGATTTATTAAAATTTTTTTGCAATTAGATGAAACACAAGACATTGATGGAATTGAATCAGAAGCAACTATAACAGCAATAACAGCATCTCCTGTGGTAAGAAACAGCATTACTATCAACTTTATTTTTGCGTAATTAACCCACATCAATCAAATTCTAACTTAACTTTGTGTTAAAGTCCTACATATTGTCAAATTCTAACATTCTTTTTCTTCTCATAACTTTCTTTCCCTCAAGTGCCAGCTGTGGCTTAGTTGGTAGCCCATTTACTACTGAGTTGGTGGGTTATGGGCAAAATAGTTCCCCTCTTTTTTTTTTCATTGTTCAGCCCATTTAAAGTATGTGGGTGGCAGTGATTTCTGAAGCCAGATGTCAATGTCTTGACATGCTGATCAGCATGCGCAGAACACAGTGCTGGGCAACTTACAGGGAACACTAGTTGTGGGTTCAAGTCCCACGTCTATAAGACCACAATATAGGAGCAAAATTTGGCCACTGGCCCATTGAGTCTGCACTGCCATTCGATTATAGCTGATCTATTTCTCAACCCCATTCTCCTGCTGCCTTCTCATAAACCTTGATCCCCTTACCAATCAAGAACCTATCACTCACAGTCTTAAATGCATTCAGTAATTTGGCCTTCAGAGCCCTTTGTGGCAATGAGTTGCAAGATTAACTACCCTTTGGCTGAAGAAATTCTTCCTCATCTCAGTTTTAAAGGGTAGTCCCTTCACTCTGGTGCTATGCCCTTGGGAAAATCACTCCCATGAGTGAAAACATCTTCTCCATGTTCACTGTATCCAGGCCCCTCAGTATTCTGTAAGTTTCAATCAGATTCTCCCCAGATGCTTCTAAACTTCAAGTCCAGACCAATAGTCCTCAACCACACACGTGACAAGCCCTTCATCCCTGGGATCATTCTTGTAAACCTCCTCCTGATCCCCTCAAATGTTTGCATATCCATCCTTGGATATGGGGCCCAAAATTACCCCCAGTATTCCAAATACAGTCTGACTAGAGTCTTGTCTGGCCTCAGCAGTACATCTTTGCTCTTGTACTCTAGCTCTCTTGAAATGAATGTGAACATTGCATTTCCCTTCCTAATTGCCAGCTGAACCTGCATGTTAACTTTAAGAGAATCCTGAACTAGGACTCCGCAAGTCCCTTTGTGCTTCAGATTCCTGAAGCCTTTCCCCCTTTAGCAAAGAGTCTGTGCCTCAGTTCTTCCAACCGAAGTGCTTAAACTCACACCTTACCACATTGCATTCCATCTGCCACTTTCTTGCCCACTGTCCTAGCCTGTCCAAGCCCTTCTGCTGCCTCCCCACTTCCTCAGCACTACTTGTCATTTCACCTAACTTAGCAACAATGCACTCAGTTCCTTTGGCCTGTTCCTTCATTATTGTATAACGTGAATAGTTGTGGTCTCAACAGTGACCCTTGTGAAATTCCACTAGTCACTGGATGCTGTCCTGAAAAAGACCACTTTTATCCCTATTCCCTGCTTTCTGCCAGTCAGCCAATCCTCTATCCATGCAGTTACACTTTCCCTAACACCATGGACTCTTAGTTATCAGCTTCCTGAGTGGCACCTTGTTAAATAGCTCACGTCCACTGGTTCTCCTTCTTCCAACTTGCTTGTTACCTCTTCAAAGAATTCTAGCATTTTTGTCAGCCATGACTTAGCCCTGTTTTACCATATATTACCAAGTATTCCACAGTCTCATCTTTAACGGCTGTCAAATCTTACCAATGACTGAGGTCAGGCTGACTGGCCTATAACTTACTGACTCCCTCCCTCTGAAACAGGGATGCCACATTAGCCATTTTCCAGTCCTCCTGACTTCAATAACTCCTGAAAGATCACCACCAATGCCTGTACAATCTTGTCAGCTATCTCCTTGAGAACTCTGGGGTGTAGTCCATTTGGTCTGGGAGATTTATCCACCTTTAGACCTTTCAACTTCCCAGCACCTGCTCCTTCGTGGTGGCCACGACACTTATCTCTGCCCGCTGACTGTCTTAAGTTCTTGTATGCTACTGGTGTTTTCCGCCGTGAAGATTGCTGCAAAGTACCTAGTCAGTTTCTCTGCCATTTCTTTGTTCCTCATACTGCTTCTCTAGCCTTATTTTCCAGTGGTCCAATGTCCACCCTTGCCTCACCTTACCTTTTATATAACTTGAAAAACTCTTGCAATCTTCTTTTATTTCACTAGCTAATTTGCTCTCATATTTTATCTTCTCTACCCCCCCCAACTTAGCGCTTTTTTTTTTAGTTATCCTCTGTTGATTTTCAAAGGCTTTTCAGTCCTCTGCCTGACCACTAATCTTCACTATATTATATGCTTTTTCTTTTACTTTTATGCTATCCCTGGCTCCCCTTGTCAGCCATGGTTGCCTCGTCCTTCCGTAAATATGTTTTCTCTTCCTTGAGGTGAATTTCTGCTTTGCCTCTTGAATTACCTCCAGAAACTCCTGCCATTGCTGCTGCACCATCTTCCCTGCTAGGCTTTCTTTTGAAATAAATCTGGCCAGCTCGCCCCTCGTCTTTGTAGCTACCTTGACTAAATTACAATACCGTTGCATCTGATTGTAGCTTCTCCCTCTCAAACTGCAGGATGAATTCCACCATATTGTGATCACTGCCGCCTAGGGGTTCCTTCACCTTAAGCTCCCTAATCAAGTCTGCCTCATTACACACCACCAAATCCAGAATTGCCTGTTCCTATTGGGCTCTGCCACAAGCTACTTCAAAAAACCATCCGGTAGACGTTCACTGAATTCCTTTCCTTGAGATCTGCTACCAACCTGATTTTTCCCATCCTCCATGATTATTGTAATAGTACCTTTCCTAAATGCCTTTTCTATCCCCTGATTTATTTTCTTCCCCACACCCTGACGGCTGTAGGGAGGCCTGCCTACAGCTCCTATCAGGGTATTTTTTCCTTTGCGGATCCTCGACTCTACCCACACAGATTTTATGCCTTCTGACTCTATATCACTTGTGTCTTTTCTTTCTTTATTCATTCACAGGATAAGGGTGTTGCTGGCTAGGCAGCATTTATTGCCCAACCCTGATTGCCTAGAGGGCAGTTAAGAGTCCACCACATTGCTGTGGTTCTGGAGTCACATGAGGGCCATACGTAAGTGAACCAGATGGGTTTTTCCAGCAGTCAACAATGGATTCAGGTCATCATTAGATTCTTAGTTCCAAATATTTATTGAATTCAAATTCAACCATCTGCTGTGGCGGGATTTGAACACAGGTCCCCAGAATGTTATCTGGGTCTCTGGATTAACAGTCCAGTAATAATTCCACTAGGTCATCACCTCTCTCTGCTGTCAATATAACTGCATTTCTTACTAACAAGGTAATCTGCTCCCTTTGGCCATCTGCCTGTTCTTTTGAGAGGATGTGTATCTTTGGATATTTAGTTCCCAGCCCTGATCCCCTTGCAGTCACACCTGTGATACCCACAACATTGTTCCCGCCAATTTCAATCTATGCTACAACTCATTTATCTTGTTTTGTATTCTGCATGACTTGAGTCCAACACTCTCAGTTGTGCTTTGACTGCCCCCTTTTCTGCTGTGCCTGAAGTTAGATTCCTGACCCTTTACATAATCTTTGTTCTGTTACTGATTCTGGAAACTTTAATAACCTGAGGAAGGATCACCAGACCCGAAATGTTAACTCTGATTTTTTTTTTCTTCACAGATGCTGCCAGACCTGCTGAGCTTTTCCAACAACTTCCATTTTCGTTTAATAACTTCTGCTTAGCCCTACCCCTTAACTTTTTCCATAATTTTCCATGTAACGGAATCCGCGGGCCCCCCCACCATTTAATTTAAAGCTTTATGCATAACCCAAATTATGTGATTCGCCAGCACTCTGGTCCCAGCCTGATTCAGGTGGAGCCCATTATGTCAGAACAGCTCCCTCTTTCCCTGGTACTGGTCCCAATGTCCCATGAATTCAAACCTGTTTCTCTTGTACCAATCTTTGAGCCATATATTTACTACTTTAATTTTGTTGTCCCTGTGCCAGTTTGGTCGTGGCTTGGGTAGTTATCCAGAGATTATTCTCTTTTTGTTTCTGCTTTTTAATTTAGTCCCTGGCTGTTCATATTCCCTCAGTAGAATCTCTTACCTCTTCCTCTGTATGTCGTTGGTACCTATGTGGACCACGACAACTGGATCTTTCCCTTCCCACTCCACACAGGGGGCAAGAATGTCAAACCTATAAGTCAAGCTCAAGGGCTGAGCTTCCTTCAGCTCTACCTCCTGAATCAATCTATCTGCCTTGCATAGTCACCCTTTCCTCTCCCTGACCACTGACTGAATTCGAGATAATTAATTTAATGGGTGCGAGTGCCTCCTGATGCACAGCTTGTAGGTAATTCGCCGCCTCCTTGACTTGTCGCAGTGTTTGAAGCTCACACTCAGCTTATCAACTCTGAGCTGTAGTTCCTCAAGCAATCAACACTTACTACACAGGTAGTCGCAATGAACCGTAATGGGGTCCACCAGTTCCCGCGTTGTGCAGTTACAACACATCATCTCTGTTTTAATTACTTAGTTCTTAATTTGAATTTTAAAAATTTTGTATTAGTCTTTTAGATTGTAGCCTGTAAATATTTCCCCTATTTACCATTGATCTGAAAATAACGTGTAATAGCCAAATTAGTATCTATCGCCAACCAATGAATTTGCAGTTTACCTGTGATGTCACTCTTTTGTGCTGGGCCCCTGATCCTGGCCTTCAACTTATCCTGTTAAAATCAACCAAAAAAAAGCAAGGACCTCTTCCCTCTGCAGAGAATTCCCATATTGCCTCCAAATTCCCGGAACCTGTACGCTCACTTGGGCTATGTCTCAATTTGGTTGTGATTTCTCCCTCCTCACTCTGCAAAGCTGACTGATCCCAAGCCACGATTTCAGCACAAAAATCAAGAATTAATCCTCTGAGGGAGTGCTGAGTCTGTCAAGAGATGCCATCTTTAACAGGAGATGTCTGGCCCCTCAGGTGGAGATATAAACATTACATGCTGCTGTTTTGAATAACAGGGGACTTATCTCCTGTTGCTGGCCAAGATTTATCCAGTACTCAACATAACAAAAGCAGATTATATGGTCATTATCACAGTGCTGTCTGTGGGACTTTTTTGTGCATAAGTTGGCTGCTTTCTTCCTGACATTACAATAATTATGAGACTTCAAAAGTGCTTTGTCACTCATGAAGTGCTATATAAATGAGGGTCTTCATAGCTTGTACTGATCAGTTGTATTTAGTTGTATTTAACCAGTGCTATATAAATGAGGGTCTTCATAGCTTGTACTGATCAGTTGTATTTAACCAGTTTGTGAAAAAAATGCTCCCTTACCTGATAAGGTAATTATTTAGAACTTGTATTTAAATTAAAAGTAATAGTTGAATTAAATTGAAAAACAAATGGTGCTGGTCATCAGCAATTTAAATACTGAACAGCTTCAAGCGTGTGCATTCCTGTTTGATTTAATTTAGACATACTTTTAATATTCTTCCACAGGAGTTTAATTTAATAATTTGATCTTTTTGCTGCAAAATATTGATGTAACAGCTAACAGCTGATGTCTGTTTAAAACTCTGTGCCACATAAGCAACCCATTTGACTTAAAGATCGTATTTCCATGCATCATTTGGTTCCATTTCTTAGCAGTCCATAGCTAGAGTGTGATAGGAATGTGTAAAATTTAGTTTAATTAGGCAGCCCTCACAGCTACTTGAGTGTTTATCAGTTATAATAATAACTTTGTCTGGAGATCATTGTAAGCAAATTACATTGTAATCTTTTTTCTTAAACTTCACCAATACAATTTGACTGACAACTCCATTTTAAATGTAGACAATCTAGTGTTAAGGCAGGACTGAGATATTTGCAGTAATTGAAGTAATTATTCCATCTTGACAGATTGAAATTGATTGTAAGCTTCTTGACTTCTGGACACCTAAATTTCATTGTACACAACTTCAGAAAAGATTCACATTGCTATTTCAAATAAAAATTCCCTAGCTGGAACATTTCAATAGTTCATTCCCACAATATGGTTTAATCCTTTTTTTCACAACTTTGTATATACTCCTTCCAAACCCCTCAATGCAGCATATGTGTCCAGTATCTTGTTAAGCTAAGATGTTTTCAAGACCCAGGCCTCAGCTGGTCAGCAACAGAAAATTTCCATCTAATGGAGTTCGTGCTGGCAATTTGTGCTCTGAAGCTGAAACCATAAAATAAGTCAAATTAAATCGGTAAATCATTTTCAGTGCATGCTAGAGTACCTTGACTCTTTTCAGGCTTTGAATGAAGTGATTGAACTCGCAATGGTTGGTGAGATAAACTTCAGATATAAACATTAAGGAGTTAAGAGTTTTCACAGAATTTTTTTTCTAGGAAAAGAGTTCAAATTTACACCGACATACTGAAGCTCTTAAAAGCACTTCCAACTCAATTTTTATGCCGGGTATGAAAATAAAAGATGAACCTTTAGATGAAGGGTATGAGAAAGCCTTGGCACCACAAGAAGGTGCAAGAATTAAGGACGAGCCTGATTCTTTACAGGTATAGTTAAGTTGTTTTATCTCTTGTTGTATTGTTATTATTCGTATAAAAATCTGAACAAGTGAAATGAAGGGTAAGGGTATAAGGCATTCTGTAATGTTATTACAAGTTAAATACAAGTTCAGTGCCTCTTGTCAATGCTCAATGTAGCACAGATATGTTTTTCTCTGCATTGGAGCCCTTCTTTTGCATCCACTATTAATACAAAGAACAGCCTTCACACTGCTTGGATAATGCTATATAATTGCTATATTTCTACAATTAACGACAGGGTAGAATGGAGCAACTTTTCCAGCTCCAAATGCTTTAGCCTCAAAGAAAACAACTTTATTTATTGTTGATGCAAGAGCAGCATAAGTATTATTTTTCAACATACAAGTGGTTTGCAGCTTCCTTTAGGAGGAGCCTGTCTGTGCTTGAAATAATTCACAACAGGTATTGGATGATGATTGGAAATTCTAGGGTTTACTTTTCAAAGTTTGGTACGGAGGCTCAGTGGTTAGCATTGTTGCCTCACAGTGCCAGGGACCTGGGTTCGCTTACAGCCTCGGGAGTTGAAGTGTGGAGTTTGCACATTCTCCCAATGTTTGCGTGGGTTTCCTCAGGATGCTCTGGTTTCCTCCCACAGTCCAAAGATGTGCAGGGTTAGGTGGATTGGCCATGCTAAATTGCCCATAGTGTCCAGGGATGTGCAGGCTAGGTGGGTCAGCCATGGGAAGTGCAGGGTGATAAGATAGAGGGCATGGGTATGGGTGAGATGCTCTTCGGAGAGTCAGTGTGTACTCGATGGGCCAAATGGCCTGTTCCCACACTAAAGTGATTCTGTGATCTCCTTTTGCAGTCTCTAGACACTAAGACTATGTGTATACGTTTGTTCGTTTGGGAAGAGCATTCCACAACTTAATAACAGTCTGACTGAATGATTTCTACTCTGCTCTGCCTTAAATGAAAGGTCCCTCATTTATAAACTATGTCCTTTATTCCTAGTCTCTCCCACAAGGGGAAACATCCTTTCAGCATCCACCCTGTCAAGTCCCCTCAGGATTTTAAGTGTCTCAATAAGATGACTTGTCATCCTTTTAAACTCGAAAGGATACAGGCCCAACCTGTCCAACTTTGCTCATAAGGTAACTTTGTAGTGCCGATAATCAGACAAGTAAACCTTTTCTACACTGCTAATATAACCAAGGCCTTTCCTTAAATAAGGATATCAGCCTGTACGTAGTACTCCAGATGTGACCTTTATCAACCCCATGAACAATTGCAGCTGAACCCTACTTCTATTGTGAAGGAAATGAAAAATAAATGGCCCCATTCCATTTGTCTTCTGAGTCACTTGCTGTGTCTGCGTACTAATTTCTGTAGCTCAGAGTTCTGTAATCTCTCCATTTAATAAAATGTACCTTCCTATTCTTCCTGCCTGTGTGGACAAGTTCGCATTTTCCCAAATTCAGTTTTGCTGTCCACATTTTTGCCCAATCACTGACCCTATTTCTATTCATTTGCAGGCTCCTTATTTCCACTTCGTGTTGGTGTCCTACCTGTCTTTCAGTCATCAGCCAATTTAGTTACTTTTCTGTTCGTCCATTCAACCAAGTAATTGTAAATAATATTAAAAAGTGAGGCCCTAGCACTGATCCCTGCGGCAGTCTGCCGGTTACATCTTGCCATGCCTGAAAACTACCCATTTTTGCTTACTCTGTTTCCTTTAAGCTAACCAGCCTGCTGCTGAGGCTATTAAATCCTACACCATGAGGTCTCATTTTATGTCATAATCTTTGTTGTGGCACCTTGCCAAAAATCTTATAGAATTCCAAGTGCACCTCCATCATGTAGATTCTAACATTTTCCCTGTGACAAATATCAGGCTGCCTGGCTTGTAATTTCCTGCTTTCTGTCTCCTTCCTTTTATGAATGGAGGAGTTTCCCAAAGCTTTCCAGAATTTAGGGAATGTTGTAAAATTAAAAGCAGCAGCAACTTTTAAGCTCCGAGGACGAAGTCCATCAGCACCAAAGAACTTATCAACATTTAGTTCTAATGATATAATTTTCTAAGCACCCTTTCCGTTGTGTTAGTAATTTTTTTTTTAAAAACTCTCCCTCCCTTTCATCTCTTGATTTACAAGTACTTCTGGGGTGTTTTGTTTCTTCTACAGTGAAGACAGACACTGAATATATCTTCAGTGCATCTGCTGTTTTTTTTTTATTTCCTATTATTAGATCTCCAACAGATTGTAGAGGATCAATGAGCACTGTAGTTAGTCTTTTCCGTTTTAAGTACCTGTGTAAATTTTTTTTTTCTAACTAGCTTTCTCTCAATCTAATTTCTCCCTCCTTATTATTCTTATAGTCATTCTTTGCTGCTTTCTGTATTCCATCCAGTCTTGAACTGCCACTAATCTTTGCAGAATAATAAGCCTTTTCTTTCAACTTGATATCATGTTTAACCTTTCTTGGTTTTCCACGAATAATGCATCCTTCTCCTGGAGCCTGTCTTTCTTACTGGAATGTATTTTTGCTGTGTATTATGAAATATGCCTTCACTGTCTTTCACAACGCCTGTTCTGACCTATCCGTTAAGTGAATTTTCTGGTTCACTTTAGCTAGCTCTGTCTTCTAAGCCTGATACTTGCCTTGATTTAACTTCAAGGCACTGGCCTTAGACCCACAACTTTCTCCCTTAAACTGAATGTGAAATCCAGTTATGTTGTAATAGATGCTTACATCTTGAGGGTATTAATTAATTCTATCTCGTTACACCTTATCAGGTCTTGAATAACCTGTTCACTTATCGTATCTTGAATGTGTTGCTGTACGAAATTCTCCTGAAAACATGCTATAAACTCAGTTTCCAGTCTACCTTTGCCAATCTGATTAGTCCAAACTATATGTGGGCTAAAGTCAGCCATGGTTGTTGCCAAATCGTTTTTACAAGCCCGTATTATTTCTTCCCATATATCCTGTCCAGTAGTGTAGTTACTGTTGGGGAGCCTATAAACTACTCCCACAAGTGACTACTTCTACTTGCTATTTCTTAATTCTACCCAAACTGATTCTCTATTTGACCTTTAGAATTAGAGTCACCTCACTATTATAACAATATCATACTCTGTCAGAGCTGTGGCACAACCTTGTCCTAGCTTCTTATCCTTCTGAAATGCTATGTACTGTTGAAAGGTTCCAGCTTTGTCATCTTCCATTTGTGTGTTTCCAGTGGCTGTCTGATCATCCATCTTTTTATTTCAGATAATTGAGCCAATTTGTTATGAATGCTGCCTGCGTGCCTACTGCTTGTCCATTGACCAAACCTTTTTCCATATTAAAACTGTACATGAGCCCTTTCCCTGCCAGTTTAACCTGATGCATGGCATTTATTGAATGCCTTTTGGAAATCATAGTATAATGCATCTACTGCTTTCCCTTTATCTAGTTTACAAGTTACAACAGTACAGCTTCTGTTTTCCCCATTTTCAGTGCCGTATGAACTTATTCAAAACCTATTTCTTCTATACCAAGCTTTGACCCAGGCATTCATCTCCCTAATTTACCCTAGGACAATCTTTTGCCTCAAGTAATAACCCAGAGACCTTTGATATATGCCTTTTAATTTGGTTTTTCATTGCTTGTTGTCCTGAAACAGAACCTCTTTCCTGGCCTTATCTATGCCATTGGTACTTGTGTGGACTATGACAGCTGGATACCCCTACCCCATTGCAAGTTTCTTTGCAACCCAGAGCATGTATTCTGAATCCTGCTGCAGGGCAGGCAACACAGACTTCTAGATTTTTGCTTTTGGTTGCAAACAACTGTGTTGTCTCCCTGACTGTACTGTCTGATACTACCACCCCATTCCTACTAACTGCCCCACTTGAATGGATTCCTGTGTCATTCTGCTATGGTGTCTTTGCTTATCCACCTTGCAGGTCCTGCTTTTGTTTATATTTTTTCTTATTGTTTTCTTTTCTCCCCCTTATGAAACCAATGACACTAAAGCAATTCTAGCACGCAAGTTGCTGCATTGATATCAGTTAATGCTGTACTAATCCAGGTTATCTGATTGATCATTTGCAAAAGATGTGCTTCTTTGTGATTGGTCATATTAAGCCTTAACTACTTTGATTTCCCAGTGACAGGACTGAGTCCAAGACTTCACTGTATAGAACATGCTGTTGTCCGTTGGAATTAATTCATATGACACAATCATGTGTTTGAGAAATCTATAAAGTGTGTGTTATATGCAGTGCAATGTTGTGAATTGGGTATCTTACTGCATTGTCCCCACTAGACCAATGAGAAGAAGTAAGCAACTAATTTGCTTGGACATAAATGATGTGTGGGCCCTTTTCCAGATAGTGTCCTTGGACCTTCAAGATTCAGCTGACCGCTTCAGCAGGGCACTAAATTACCATAAACAATATGCTGGAAGCTCTGAGCAGGCCAAGCAGCATCCATGGAGAGAGAAGCTGAGCCAGCATTTAAGGTTGATCAGAATGGATCAGCCCTTTCCGATTTTGTGTTGGATTTCCAGCATTTGCAGTATTCTCCTTTTCTGTTAGTTTAACATCTTTTCGAAGGATGACACTTCCATAATTCCTCTGTACAGTACTGCTTCGGTTGTATGTTCAAGCCCGGGGTTGGAGCCAAAGGCAAGAATGTTGTAAAATAAACCTTTTTTTTCCAAATTTCCCTTTTTACTCATCTGTGGAATAATATGTTGGTGAACTACAGTATCTCCTAAAAGTGACATAGTTAATGCTTATCATTTTGCAGTAATCTCAAAAGTGCTACTGTAAACCAAATGCAAGACTAATAGTTTCTGTCTGTGCAAGTGTAAAAGCAAATGTTTTTTTTAAATTTCAGGGATATGGCCAACATTCCAAGTCTCAGGAGTCTGATATCCGAATCAGTGCAGTGTTTTCCGTGAGTGGTAGTCCACTTGGTAAGCATTGTACAATGTTGTTGCTGACCTAGGGACTAACTATTTTCTCCATGGATGGAGGTGTCTAAAAAGCATGAAGAATATATTTGTGCATTGTGCTGTATAATTTGAATGAAGCTACACTAAATTGGTCTGTATTTGAGCAGAGGTGAGAATTCTAAAAATTTTTGCTCTTTCTCAAACTTAACAATTCTGCATAAAACAACAGCGTTGGGAACTTAGCAAGAATGAATAGTGGGAACGGAGAGTTAGTTTATTTTTAAATATCACAGGGCTGAAGGATTGAAATACATTTCCATCAGCTGCACTCCAATGTTGTGCAGATGTACATAAATAGTAGTTTGCCCTCGGAATTGAAATTCATATGGTTCGTCCTCTTCCTGCATTTTCATTAAAACCATCAGTATTCTGGGTAATCATTATAAATGATTTGCAATCATATTAAGGTTCCTGGCCATTTACTATACTGAAGATTTGAAAAGAATTTTGTCTTATTACAAGCGTTTTCTACTTAACATGTCTAGATTTGCTGTTAGCTGTACATAGTGCTCTTCTGCTCAGGGTGAGGTCACCAAAACCTATCTTATTAAGGATATATAGTGCAGGCCATTTGCACAGATCAGTTTGGTAGTAAATAGTTGTTCAGTTGTGGTGTTACTAATCTTTAGGAGTCAGTTTTATCATTGAAACATTGTTATTCGATATTGACTAACTTTTTAAATCTGAGCATCAGTTGTTCTTTAAATAGCTGCGGCTTCTCTCCAATACCTAGCTCAGAATCATAGACTTACAGAAGAATGTCCTTGCCTGTGGTTTATACCTTGCCCTGTTTTTGCCTTAGCCCAGCATTCTGGCATAAATCTGCACAGCTGGGAAGTAATGGCAAAAACTGGTCAATGCTCCATTCAGAGAGCCAGATTTGAGCTAAGAGCAGTGAATGAAATAAAATAGAAGTGCTAACGTTCTGAGCAGGACATCAAAGATGAAAGGCTGAGAAGTTTACAGTCCAAATTAATCATTAACTGGATTGTGTTGTAAAAGTGCAAAATTCTGGAAGTACTCGAGCTCTGGCAGCATCAATGGAGAAAGAAACTGTGTTAAATTTTGAGTTCAATACCTTTTGCATGCATTTTCTTTCCTTTTTTCTTTTGAACCCATTTTGTTTCCTTTGCTCAATTTTGTTTTTTATCCGCTGTATTTCTCTCCCTTTTTTGCTTCCAGGTGGCAACGCTTTATGATTTTATCATTCACATTTCCTCAAGATATGTCAGTAGTTTCCTGTTACCACTCATTTGGAGTTTGCACCATGAACTCTTTTATCATTTAACATTTCCTATCTTCCACCCTGTTGCAGAAATTCTCTTCTATTTGTCTCTCTCCTTTCAGCTTTCTTATAACTTATGGGATTTCTGAGTTCTGATGAAAGACCATTGACCTGAAATGACAACTCTCTCTCTCCCCATTTATACTGCCATATCTGCTGAGTATTTCCATCACTTTCTGCTTCTGTTTAAGTTTTCTACCATCCACACTGTTTTCATTTTGGAAGCTGTTGTATTCAGGTATCCCTAGCAAGATTCCAGCAATGGAAGTGTTATGCATTCAAACTGCAGATTCTGTTCCTGTGAATTGCTATTTAATTATAAAGCCAAAAGATTGATGAAACATAAATGTTTGAAAATTCATTCCTCCTGTGAAAGGGAATTTTGCTAATATTTTGTTTCTATTATTTCTTTGTGTTTAAATTTCCCTGTGCACTGCCTAGCTACAGTGATAGATTTGAATCTTGCTCTTAAACATGAGCTAAGAGCTATGCTGACAGTGGAATTGAATGTTACTCACTCTAAACAATCAACACTTGCTTGAGTCTTCATGGACACTTCACTTTTGTTATTGTCATTTCCCAACTACATGATTGAGATTCTGTACGTCCAATTACGGATGATATTTTTACTTTCAAGGTTCACAGTTGATGCATATTTGCCGTTCTCCGAGTACTTTCAGTCCTAAATGTAAACAACAGAACTCAATCCTAATTGAGTGGGGTGCAGGAGAATGATGATGCACATAGATCACTTTCTGTCTTAGAAGCATAGTGAAACAATATAGAGGATTGTAGATCAAGCATGAGTCTGTCGACACTGAGATAATCAGTGTATTCTGTTGACTGAAAAATGTTTATGAAATATGTTCCCACCTCTCCTATGCAGTGAAGGAATACATTTTGTAACATCAGTTTACATCAGGTGCTTTTGAATATTTTGCAGTTACCTAACATAGTCTATTAGAAAGCACTGAGATTTGTGATTGATTTTACTATAACCTAAGTTTTGAATGTGCTGCTACTTTCAATTAATAATTCTACACTGATGTTACCCCCATTGGTACAAATTTTCACTTTGAAAGGAGTTGTATTTAAATAGAAATAGCTGCCAAATATTTAGCTGTCCCTTTCCTTTCTGATTTCAATCTCTTCCCTCCCGGCTGGATTGTGGTTTCATAGGTGTTGGTTGCCTTGCTGATTTTGACAGTGAGATTAGTGGGACTTTTGGCTGTGGGATCATCAAAACTGGGCGAAATCTATTTTGTTCTAATGTGGAATAGAGATGTGCAATTCAACAGGCATCTCTAGATGGCGATGAGTAGAATTTTCTTCCCTTTGGCTGAAAAAGATTGAAGCCAATTACAGAATTCATACTGCCGCTCCTGACTGACAGCAAACTCAACCACCTTAACGGTTCACCAGATTTACACACTAAATCATCACAAATGCTTCCTCAAAGTCTTTTATATCTTCCTTTTTCAGATACTAGTTACTTAAGTTTTTTCACATTGCAAGGCCACTAACATTTGAAATTAAGGACAGATTAATGACCACGTTCTAATGTGAATCAAAGCATTTTGTGAGGTGGCTTCCACAGGATTTGTTCTGTTCTTGAGCACTTGACTTGGTGCAGTTGTCTTAAAGTTATTCAGAAGTATTTACCTGTTGGCACTGTTTTTCCCAATAATTGATAATAGTTTTATTGGCATGTGTGACAGCAGTGCATGTTTCTGTCTTTGTTATACCAGGGCCAAATATCATGATTGTCCTACTTTGAGAAGCATCAGTGGAGGCTGCACTTAATGTGTGTAGAGCTAGGGGAGATAAGTTGAAAGGGAAGTGTTTGTGTGCTCTTCAAGGGGATAAGAACACATAAAGGCACAACACATGGCAGTTGTAAATTTATATTTGCTTTTTACATATTTGTCTTATTGTATTGCAGTATCCCAATTGGTACAGCAAAATACGTCAAATGCTCTCAACACAGCAAAGTCACCTGCAGGTGGCAGTGGGCAGACAGCTTCAGCTCCTATGAGTGTGCGGGTCACTTGTTCAGGATGTAAGAAGATTTTAAAGAAGGGACAGACTGCCTATCAGAGGAAAGGTTCAACCCAGCTGTTCTGTTCCACCCTCTGCCTTACTGGACTCTCAGCATCGACTCCAAGACTTCTCCCTCCTCCGAAAAAATCCTGTTATCTCTGCAACAAGTATGACCTCGCTTTAATCTAATCGTATTTTATTAAATTGTCAATTCTGAGATGCGCACCAGAGGTCTTCCCTTAAAATTTACATATTTAATAAAAGCTAACCTGCGAAAATGAGCAGCTATGCTTCCTATCTCTATTGAGTAACTGGTGCTACTATTTTGGTGAGTACAGCAATTGCTGTAAAACCCGATCCAACAAATAAAACTGTTAACCAATGGAAATAACATTTGTTTTGTAGGAATGATACCCTTGAGAAGATTTAAAGTACCCACCTTTGTTAAATTGCAAGTGAACGCTCAGTTAGGCTATTGCCTTCCAATTACCCTGAAGTATCCATTTATATCTTAACCTGCATTTTCTTTTGGAAATAAGGTTATATTAAACTCAGTCACTGCCCTAGTCAAATGGACAATCAAGTAACTTTGTATGTGCAATCTTGATGAGCAATGTATGAATTAATTGGAAGTTCTGCATTCAAGTCACAAATAGATTTTGTATCCCTGATAGGTAATTTGACTTTAAAGAGGGACTAATATTGATTTCTTATGGGCAGTTTTACAGACAAAAATTGTTTGAACTTGCATCCAAGTGTTAGGAGTATATATTTGATATATAAAAACATATGAATGCATGTACTATGAGAAACTGGGTTATTGAACTGATCGGACTTTTCTGAGTTGAAGAGGCTTTATCAAGTGATTTTTTGGAAATGAAATGTCAGAAGATCAAAGAGAATTGTGGATTAGAAAAATATCATTTGACTCTAGCTGAAACTTTTTTTTTATGGCCAATGGGAATTAGTTTAATTAAGTTAGTGTGCATTTAATATGAGCTCAACTTGAAGTATCGTTTCATTCAGTGTAGGCCCAAGTTTGAACATTCTTTTTGAGGTAGAAGTGCTGCATGAATCAAATAGCAGCGCAAAAATGTGCTCTTGGCCATTGCTCATTTGTATTTCCAAGCCCAAAGATTGTGGATTGAAGAATTACTGAGAGGCTTGAGCATAAAATGTAGTCTTAGATTCCAGTATTTAACTGATAGATACTGTATTATTGGACGTGCCACTTCTTTGTTCCCTTTGTCTTTTCCACCACTGACAACAGAGACAGAGTTTACTTGATGCTGTTTGAGGGAGTTTGCTGTATGCAAATTTGCTGTGTTGTCTCCTATCGTATAGCACCAAGCTCCAAAAGTATTTAAAAACCAAAAGAACTGCGGATGCTGTAAATTAGGAACAGTATTTAATCAGTATTTAATTAGCTTTAAATACAAATGAAATAAATGCAAATCTCATTTCTTTGATCACTGAGAAGGTTGGCTGTACTTGTTTCTCCTTCATTCTGCAAAGCCATAGTTGTTTATTTCCTGAAAGGTTTTATTATTAGCAAGTATGGAGAAAATAATTTAGTTTTAATGTCTTTACAATCATGTGCCTGATTTGAGAGGGATGCTTTTCATTTGGATCCATGTCATAAAATTATACTTTTCTGGCGATGGTGATTTGGCGGTTTCCAAGAAATTATGTAAACTCTGATGGTTCAGACAGATTTTCGGTTCATTTTGGTTACTCCTATGCATTGATGTGTTTTCATTACTACTTGAATGAAACCAGTTTCCTGGACTCAGCCAGCAGTCATGTAAGTTCATTTGAGCTGTGGATCATCTTTGCTGTAGTGTGTTTATGTGAAGAAATACTTTCTGCAACCTGTCCTAAAGTTACTTTTAAAACTCTGGTCTTGGTCCTGTTGTTTCACAGCCTTAATGCATCTAGAACTATTGTGGGTTTTCTTTATCCTATTGAATACACTTGAGTACTCATATATTACACTCTTGCATGTTGTACTGTTATGCCCATTCAGAGCCATCTTTACTGGAGGCTAATATCACCATCTGTCTTAAGAGCAGAAAGTGCTGGAGAAACTCAGCAGATCTGGCAGCATCTTTGGAGAGAGAAACAGTTAATGTTTTGAGTTATAATGATTCTTCAGAACTCATTCCCATCTGTTATCCTGGGGATGCGGGGCATTCGCCTCAGAAGAGAAAGGTCATTAGGAGACTTGTGTCAAGCTGCCACGGAAATATCTTGTCTTTGCTTGATGTTGTTTGCCTTGTAGACTACTTGCAGTCATAACTTGTTTTTGGAAGAAATGCTTCTTCCTGATGCTCTAATTACATGATTTTTATAAGGCTTCTGCCACCACTTATACAATAATGTGCCTTAATCAGGAAAGGGAGATGAAAAAATTTGTAACTGGGTACTGCAGGGAGGACCACGAGAGGATCCTCTTGTTCATACTAAGCCTGAAAATATATTTTGCTTCCTCATTATTATCAGATGTGACAATACAGTTTTTTTTAAACTAATGCCTTTCCCATGACCTGAAATAAAACAAAACTCATCAGGAAGTAGTTCCCAGATTTAAAAAAAAATTGCTTTTGCTGCAGATGTGATTTGACCAATGCGGTCAGTTAAAAAGTGAGTAGCAGTTGCTGTAGGTAGTATTCTTTGGATCTCAGTCTTCGAAATCTCAGTGGCCAACAGCCACAGCCTTTCTGGAGAAAGTTCTATTTTTCTACTATCCTTTGTGTATAAAGTGCTTCCTAATTTCACTTCTAACTGTGGTTGCTGTAATTTTAATCCTCTTGTTCTGGATTTCCCAAAGGAAGTTGTTGTTTGTCTGTACTTACCCATTGCAGTCATTTTAAAGATCTCGTTTAGATTACCACTTAATCTGCTCAACTCAGAAGTGTTAAAAACTTGAGTGTCTGCAACTGGTCCGTATTACTTTAGTCTGGAGGACTCAGTGCCATTCTGGTTAAGATACGTTGCATGCTTTCTCAGGACAATATAATTGCTGAGGCGTGGTCTCCAAATTTGGACACTACTCCAGATGGGGTCTGACCAGGGGGCTTTGTACAACTGAAGCCTCACTTAATAACTTTTCTATTCCAGCTTAATTGACATAAAGTTCTGCATTCTATTGCCATTTTTGCTTTTTTTTTGTATCTACGCACTAGACTTCAGTAATTAATGAATATTGATACCTCTGTCCCTTGTCCACAGGTCCCTGCTCGGCATCGGTCATCATCCACTTTACTCCAGTGGATTCTGCCAGTTTTGGCCACTATCTGTGTTATCTGAAAACGTGTATATGGCAACACTGTATTCATTCATCCAAGTCAAATGTGTACAGGGCAAATCTGAGGAACACCATTTGTCACCTGTCAATCAGAAAGTGCACCCTTTATCTCTACAGTATTTTCTAATTCTCAATGAATCATCAATCCATGTCACAAAGTCATCACTAATTTCAATTTGATTTTTGATCATCTCTTCTTGGACCTTTACCACATGTCTTCTATGAGACCATTTCAACTACCTTCAAATATATATGTAATATCCAGCACATACGTTTTGACTTTTATTGCTGTTGTAGTTTCCTTTTGAGTGACTTTTCTCCTTCATCCTACCTGAATAAATCCTGTGTTGTTAGTTCATAACTGCCAACAACAATTGCAGTTAGTGGTTTTTGTCTTCGTTGTGTCTCCTTTGAGCCATGGTGCCCTTTTTTTTTAGAATCTACAGAACAAAATTAATTTTGGTCAAATTACAGTTCACTGTTAGGTTATCCAGTGGTTTATGGAATCAAAAAAAAGCATCCTGATGGTCACAGAATCAAAATGTACAAGTCTGAGGTACCCATAGTTCTTTGAAATATTATCATTAAAGATCTCTCAAGTTCAGTGTGACCATAGTTGTGTGCAGCCTTCTCAGAAACAATATTGTCAGTTAAAACTTTGACCCACATGCTGAAAAGAGAATAGCAAAGAAACAAACAGTATACAGAAAATATGGAGGATGGATCAACCTGTCTAATTGTTTGGCAGTTCAGAAAACTGGGTAGCAATGGAAAGAGAAATCCAAACAAGGTTGTCTTGAGAGAGCGGTTTTCTGTTTGGTAGCCTTTGAATGGATCCTGGTATTGACACAGGTCTTTGAGAACCTAGCAGAGACTTGTAAAGAAAAGAACACTGAAGACCGGAAAATAGAGGGATTAATCAATACACATTGCTGCTGTTGAAGTGCTGCCAGAGCCCACCAGACTGTTCAAAGGGTTAGCGAAGAGAGCCTCATGGAATTTTTTCATCAGTGCCGTTGTGAATTGAATGAGTGGGAGTTCGTAGATGTTTACCTTGTCAGTGGTAGTGGGGGCTTCCGATAGAATGCAGTTGCTAGTGAATTTAACATGTATCGAAACAATTGGACGGCAAGTGAGAAATCCTCCAAAATGAAGCGGAAGGTGGAAAAGCTGAGATTATGTGAGGTCGCTCATTTCTGTGGGAAGATGTTGCGAGTGCTTATAATGCTGTCAGGTGTACCTTTTATGTTGACTAAAAGCAAAATTTACGTTTGTTTGAAATATCCTTCAGCTATTAATTCTTGAATAATGTTGATTTTAGTTTGGCTTTTGGAATAAAAGTTTTTAAACGTTAAAGCTTGCACAGTGGTTTTCTTTCCATTGGTGTTGTAAGGAGTGTTTTGTTTTTCAAGGTTACTGGTTTTAATAGCAATTGCAACAATATTGCGTTTGAGTAGTTCAAAGTGTTCTCTTACGTCAAGATGCAAAATAGACAATAAGTTGACATAGTCCTTTAGCAGTCAAGTATCAGACTACGATCCAAGTTAAATTCCACCTTTGACTTAGCATTGAAGCTTGTAGCCTATGATATGAGAGAATTCTTAACCCACAACATGAAATTGCGCTGCTTATCTCACATTGTTAGCACCTACAGACTTTTCCCTCCTCTTAGCCAAGTGATGGAAACTTGGAGAAGTACAAAAAATTGTCCCAACCAAGTGGAAATCTCTACCTGATGTGTAAATCACATTTCTGGAGTATCTTACCCAGTATTATGTGATGTACTCTGTATGTGGACTATCTTACTGGCATGGTTTTGAAACTACTGCTCACTAGAGCATGCAGTGTGGTAGAAGAAATAGTTTTGAGGCTTGCATGTTGGATAAGAATACCATTTCAACATTTTGTTTAATCATTTGGGAAAACCAGCATCATTGATTTGCATGAATATGTTTTTGTTAGGCAATTGCTGAAATTTTTTAAAACATGCAATTTTTTTCCAGGGAAATCACGAACTTAAAAGATCTAGTAATGGGTCAGATTGATGGCAGGGGTCCGTACAAGGAATTCTGTAACCATAACTGCTTATTTGAGATGAAAAGAAAGTCTGCTTCAACGACAAATAATATCACCACCAAATGCAGCATTTGTCAGAAAGTGTCAGTTGTAAGTTTACTAACTATTCATATCTTTTTGCATCATCCACCCCTATTTCATGGTAACTTGTTCCCCACAATAGTTTGTGTGCTTTGAACTGTCAAGGCATTATTGTGTTGTAAATATAGAGAACAATCATAAAGGCTTAATTTGGGGAAAAATAATTCCTCTACTGTCTGAGGGGACATCTTGAAGAAATGTCATGGTTTTTAGCAATGAGTTTAAATTGAGGGGCACCATAATGGAACTGCTATTACGAGAAACATGTTGCTTTCCCAATCCTAATTTGATGTAAGTTCCATCTTTGTAGTGGTTCAGTTTTGCTTACTTAAATATGCTATATATGGATACAATCATGAAGACCAATTTGGCATGTTTTATGTCTGACTTAAAATTATTTTCATCCATCACCTTATACTTGTCACAAATTACATGGTCAACCAACTTGTCGTGTTAGTTCTGAATCTCCAGTAGCTTCTATAATATGTTGCCATCTGTATTGGGTATCCTGCCAATATATGGGATACAGGACACATTCACTTTATTTCAACCAAAAAGAAGTCTGGCTGAGCTGGCCATTGCTGCTTTATAATAAGCAATTGTCAAGTTAGTTTTTTCTTAATTTATACACAAATTTTATCTCTCTTCCTGTGGAGCCTTACCTCTGACACATGATGCTACCAGAGGAGATTGAACTCTGTTGGGCAGTTGACTATATGTCACATGTTCCATCACTATATTCTTAACTGTATGCAAGGCATCATAAGATTTTATTCTTTATTTCAGGTCCGCCATGAAGTGAACTACCAGAATGTTGTACACCAACTTTGCAGTGATATATGTTTCTCTAAGTTTCGAATGGCCAACAATCTCACTATGAATTGCTGTGATAACTGTGGCGCTTATTGTTACAGTGGGTCTGCGCAATGTCACATGCTTCAGACCGAAGGGCAGTGTAAGAAATTCTGTGGTTCAGCCTGTTTGTCTTCATATAAACAGGTTTGTTACGTTTTAAGCCAACCAGACAAGAATGAAATGCTTTATTGCATGTTCCTTAACATGATCATGATGCCATGTAGGTGTTCCTTTCATACAAGTTCATTTGTTATAAACATATTCCTTTTTTTGTGGTCACCTACAGGAGTACTCCCATTTCAGGGCTCAAAAATGAATACTTGTTGATCTAATGTTTTGAGTCTATCCATTGTTATTGCAAACTTTCTTAAAAAAAAAAAAAATGGATAGATGAACTGGAGTAGTGTAATGGTATGCTAAACATTCCTTAAATTGTGCTGCTAAAGCACCAGTAATATGTGTAGTAAACTATTTGTCTGCCTTTTCCAGACTCGACTTGTATGTGATTACTCAATTCCAACATGATCATCTGGCATTCTTCAGTTATTCTCATTCAAGACTGTTGTGTCTGATAAAGGATACATTAGTATGTGAATAACTAATAAATAGTCATAGACATGGAAACCAGAGAGCAAGCTGATGTTTGAGATTCAAGTGGTGACCTTTGAAAACTGCACTCTTAGAAAAGGCTCCTAAATAGCAGCTGAACAGTTAAATGGACTATATGTAGATAATTGAGAATAAATGGATGACATAAGGACAAACCTGATAAATACATCAGCATAATTCTTTGATAGAGTATATGTTGTGAACTTGTATTTATACAGCCCCTGTTAAGTCCTTCTGACATTTCAAAATGCCCTGTACCTGATTACTTAATTGCTGTGTAGTCATTGCTGTAATGTAGACAAATGCTGCAGAAATTTTGCAGACATCAAGAACCCATAGACATAAAATTAGAAAACTAATTAATGAATCTACTGATTGTTTTGGTTGAGGAGCAAATGTTGATGGGACCCTTCGACAATTCTAAAACTCCTCTGTGAAACGTTTTCTGATCTTCACACATAATTGCAAACCCTGGTGCAATGTGTAATCTTTTAAGATATAGTTTTCTGTTTCTTCATCTCCCTAAACTCTACACAGTTGTAATTTATGAAATATCTGCACTGCAGACACAAGGCATCTATATGGTTAACCATATGCAAATGTTGATAGATAATGAGTCCAATAGCAGTTTGTCATCATGCATTATCTGGGATAGGACTATATAAACCAGCAGGGTACTAGATTTGAATGCAATCTGTGCAAGGTCCCAGCTATTTACAATGGCAGTGGAGTAGAGAGTGGGAAATTCATCCAAAATCTGTCCTCCTAATTGATGAAACTAAACTGACAAGACATTGGTAGAATTGTACTTGACTGAGAGGCATGATTGCAACAGATAGCCTACGCTGTTTAACCTCATGCCATCAGAATGTCTACTTGGGTGAGATAATGGAGCCCTGAAACTGTATTGAGGTTGGTTGGCTCACCGAGCTGGTTTGTTGTTTTGCAGACGTTTTGTTACCATGCTGGGTAACATCCTTCCCCCACCTCCTGTCGGGTATTCACCATCCCTCCTCACCTTCCGAAGTCCGATGCTGAACGCTCTGTACTCAACAAAGGCCTCAGCTTTATCCCTCTGCGTCCCCACCTTAACCAATTTCAGGCACGACATGACGCCGAACTGTTCTTCCGCCGTCTTTGCCTCCGTGCTCATTTCTTAGGACGAGAGTCCTCTCCCCACCCCACAGACCCCTTTGCCCAACTCCAACACTGTCCCTCCACCTGGACCCCTCCCTCTGGCCTTTAACCTGCACTCGATCTTTTCATTGAGAACTGTCCGTGACATCAGTCGCCTCAATTTCACTGCCCCCTCAACAAATCCAACCTATCTCCCTCCGAACTGACTGCACTCTGTGCACTCAGATCTAACCCTAACTTTGTCATCAAGCCTGCCGATAAGGGTGGTGCTGTTGTTGTCTGGCGTACTGACCTCTACCTTGCAGAGGCTGAGCGCCTGCTCTCAGATACCTCCTCCTACCTTCCCCTGGACCATGACCCCACCATGGCACATCAGGCCATTGTATCCACTACGGTTACGGATCTCATTTCATCCAGTGATCTGCCCCCATCCGCTTCCAAGCTAATAGTCCCCCAACCTCGCACAGCTCGTTTCTACCTCCTGCCAAAAATCCACAAACAGGACTGTCCGGGTAGACCCATTGTTTTAGCCTGCTCATGCCCCACAGAACTCATCTCTTCCTACCTTGACTCAGTCTTCTCCCTACTGGTCCAATCCCTACCCACATACATCCATGATTCATCTGACGCCTTACGCCGGTTTCAAAGCTTCCAGTTTACCGGCTCCAGCCACCACCTCTTTACCATGGAAGTGCAATACCTTTACACATCTATTCCTCACCAGGAGGGTCTTGGGGCTCTCCGCTTCTTCCTGGAGCAAAGACCTGAACCATCCCCACCCACCACCACCCTCTTCCGCTTGGCTGAGCTTGTCCTCACCCTCAACAACTTCTCTTTCAACTCCTCTCATTTTCTTCAGGTAAGAGGGGTTGCCATGGGCACCCGCATGGGCCCTAGTTATGCCTGTTTCTTCGTGGGGTATGTGGAACATTCCTTGTTCCAGTCCTATTCCGGTCCCCACCCACAACTCTTTCTCCGATACATCGATGATATCATCGGTGCTGCTTCCCTCTCTCGTCGAGAATTGGAAAACTTCATCAATTTCGCCTCCAATTTCCACCCTGCCCTCACTTTCACCTGGTCTATCTCTGACTCCTCCCTTCCCTTCCTCGACATTACTGTTTCCATTTCTGGGGATAGACTGGCCACTAATATCCATTACAAACCCACCGACTCCCACAGCTACCTGGACTATACATCCCCACATCCCACTTCCTGTAAAGACTCCATCCCATTCTCTCAGTTCATCCGTCTCCGTCGCATATGTTCAGATGAGGCCAACTTTGACAAGGGAGCCTCTGAAATGTCCACATTCTTCCTCAGCTGAGGATTCCCCAGCTCCGTTGTCGACAGGGCCCTCAATCGGGTCCGACTCATCTCCCGCACTTCTGCCCTCACCCTTCTCTTCCCTCCCGCAACAGCGATAGGGTTCCCCTTATCCTCCCCTACCATCCCACCAGCATCCACATCCAGAAGGTCATCAGACGCCATTTCCGCCACCTCCAGCAAGATGCCACCACCAGACACACATTCTCCTCCCCTCCCTTGTCCGCCTTCCACAGGGACCGTTCCCTCCGGGACACCCTGGTCCATACTTCCTTCACCTCCAGCACCTTCCCCTGTAACCGGTGAAGGTGCAACACCTGCGCATTTACCTCCTCCCTCCCCAGTATCCAAGGGCCCAAACATACCTTCCAGGTGAAGCAACACTTCAGCTGCACTTCCAAGAACCTAGTCTACTGCATTCGCTGCTCACAATGTGGTCTCCTCTACATTGGGGAAATGAAGCGTAGACTTCGCGACCGCTTTGCAGAGCATCTACGTTCTGCTTGCAAAAGAGACCCTGAACTACCTGTTGCCTGCCACTTCAATGTACCACCTTGCTCCCTGGCCAACATCTCTGTCTCTGGCTTGCTACAGTGTTCCAGTGAAGCCCAGCGCAAGCTGGAGGAACAACACCTCATTTTCCGCTTAGGGACCCTGCAGCCCTCCGGACTCAATATTGAGTTCAATAATTTTAGGGCCTAAACTCTCCCATGTCCCAGCCCCCCACCCCACACACCAGGCCTTGTTACCACATAGCCTGCCACTACACACCCCTTGTTGTTAGTCACTAACAGTCCCCATTAACAACTATTCACCCTCCCAGCCTGATCGTTAGCAACTCCTTTGTCTGTCCAACTGTTTTTCTCTCTCTTTGGGCTCTATCCTATCGTTTACTCCCTACCCCACCCACCTCCCTATTTTCTGCATATAAACTGACATTTTCCCAGCCACCATCAGTTCTGAGGAAGGGTCACCGGACCCGAAACATTAACTCTGTTTTCTCCTCCACAGATGCTGCCAGACCTGCTGAGCTTTTCCAGCAACTTTGTTTTTGATCCTCAGTGCAGCCTCCGACGAAGCGCCGGTGTGTTTTCCCGCCTGGTTTTTAAACTCTGGGGTTCACTGAGATGGATTGCCTCACTTCCTGTTTTCCTTTGTAGTGGAATGTACATAGGGTCGATTTCAATGTGTTTATTAATAGCGTGCTTCGTGGAGTGCCATGCTTCCAGGATTTCTTGTGCTTGTCTCTGCGTAGCCTGTCCCAGGATCTTGGTGTTGAAGAGCGAAGTTGTGGTTTTCCTTGTCCATGTGGATTGAGATGAGTGAGTATTGGTCGTATCTTTTTGTAGCCAGTTGGTGTTCATGTACTCTCGTTGTTAATTTCCTTCCTGTTTGTCCGATGTAGTGTTTGTCGCAGTCTCTGCAGGGGATTTTGTAGATGACATTGGTCCTGTCCATGGCGGGGAGTGGGCCTTTAGTTCGGGTGAGCAGTTGTCGTAGGGTTGACGTGGGCTTGTGTGCCACTCTGATGCCCAGCGGTCGTAGGAGTCTTGTGGTGAGTTCCAACATGTTCCTGATGTAGGGTAGTGTGATGAGTGTGTCGGGGCGTGTAGAATCTTTCTGACCCTGTTCCTGTAGGCATCTTCTGACCCAGTTCTTTGGATATCCATTATCCTTGAACACTTGGAAGAGGTATTCTTCTTCCTCTTGGTATAGTTCCATGTTGCTGCAGTGTGTTGTTGTCCTCTTAAATAATGTTCGCACGCAGCTTTGTTTGTGTGTGCTGGGATGGTTACTATTGAAGTTCAGTACCTGGTCTGTGTGTGTGGCTTTTTGGTGTACTTTCATTTGCAGTTCCCCATTTGTCTTGCGCTCTACCATGACGTCCAGGAATGGGAGCTGTTTGTTCTTCTCCTCCTTTGGTGAATCTTATTCCGGTGAGGGTGTTGTTTATAAGTTTGTGTGTCTCTTCTAATTTGGTGGGTTTAATGATGACAAAGGTGTCGTCTACGTAGCGTATCCACAGTTTAGGTTGGATTTGTGGAAGGGCGGTCCTTTCCAGTCTTTGCGTCACTGCTTCTGCTAGGAGTCCGGACATAGGTGATCCCATTGAGTGTCCCGTTGATTTGCTCGTATGTTTGGCCGTTGAAGGTGAAGTGGGTGGTTAGGCATAGGTCCAATAGTTTGAGCATGTTATCCTTGGAGATGGTTTCACTGGGGTCGTGTTCTTGTTCAAGTAGTGTTGTCATTGTTTCCCTTGCTAGTGGTATGTCTATTGATGTGAATAGGTCAGTGACATCAAACGATATCATGGTCACTTCATCCTCTATCTTTATGTCTTTGACGGAGTTGAGGAATTCTTGGGCTGAGTGGATAGAGTGGGGTGACTTGTTGACTGAGTGCCTGAGTTGTCTCTGTACTTCTTTGTCTAATCAGTGTGATAGAGTGCCTGGTAAGGAGACTATGAGTCTGAGGGGGACTTCCGGCTTGTGCACTTTAGGGAGGGCGTAGAAGTGGGGTGTGTTGGTTCCTTCGGGTTTCATTTTCAAAAAGTCTGTTTTGTTGATCTGTCCTGTTTTAAACTGGAAAGGACCGCCCTTCCACAAATCCAACCTAAACTGTGGATACGCTACGTAGACGACACCTTTGTCATCATTAAACCCACCAAATTCGAAGAGACACACAAACTTATAAACAACACCCTCACCGGAATAAGATTCACCAGAGAGGAGGAGAAGAACAAACAGCTCCCATTCCTGGACGTCATGGTAGAGCGCAAGACAAATGGGGAACTGCAAATGAAAGTACACCAAAAAGCCCCACACACAGACCAGGTACTGAACTTCAATAGTAACCATCCCAGCACACACAAACAAAGCTGCGTGCGAACATTATTTAAAAGGACAACAACACACTGCAGCAACACGGAACTATACCAAGAGGAAGAAGAATACCTCTTCCAAGTGTTCAAGGATAATGGATATCCAAAGAACTGGGTCAGAAGATGCCTACAGGAACAGGGTCAGAAAGATTCTACACACCCCGACACACTCATCACACTACCCTACATCAGGAACATGTTGGAACTCACCACAAGACTCCTACGACCGCTGGGCATCAGAGTGGCACACAAGCCCACGTCAACCCTACGACAACTGCTCACCCGAATTAAAGGCCCACTCCACACCATGGACAGGACCAATGTCATCTACATCGCAGAGACTGCGACAAACACTACATCGGACAAACAGGAAGGAAACTAACAACGAGAGTACATGAACACCAACTGGCTACAAAAAGATACGACCAATACTCACTCATCTCAATCCACATGGACAAGGAAAACCACGACTTCGATCTTCAACACCAAGATCCTGGGACAGGCTACGCAGAGACAAGCATGAGAATTCCTGGAAGCGTGCTATTAATAAACACATTGAAATCGACCCCATATACATTCCACTACGAAGGAAAACGGGAAGTGAGGCAATCCATCTCAGCAGACCCCAGAGTTTTAAAAACCAGGCGGGGAAACACACCGATGATTCATCAGAGGATGCACTGAGGATGTTACCAAGTATGGTAACGAAATGTCTGCAAAACAACAAACCAGCTCAGCGACCCAACCAACCTCAACACCCACAACCCAAGCTACAGATCTACTCCAAAACCTTACTGATACTGTATTCCAACATGAATAAGTGATTTTAGAAAAGTAGAAATAAAAATTGAGAATAGGATTGATGCTATTTATGTTATTCATTTATTTTGCAATGTTCATCGGGTGTCCCGTGTTTTGCTTGGAAAAGGTCACCTTTACAAAATGAATTGCAAATACTTTCAGTTGGTTCTGCACCTCGTACGTCTCTTCCATCAGGGTCAAATCATTTTTTTTTTTTTTTTTTTGAGGGCCCTTCTTGAGATTTTCTCAAGGGCTATTTGTTCAGTCTCATTGACCCATTTATTGGGGGATGGAGTCACATTGTAACAATACCTAAGTATTTGTGGTGACATATAGGGTTTTTGGATTGTCACAGAAATGGAATAATTCTTCAAAATCCTCAATAATTATCAATCCTGTATTAGACTTTAAACTTCAAACCACAAGGAAAGCATTAATTTCCTTGATACCGCAGTATTGAAATTGGTAAGGATAACTGGCATAAATGACAAAAAAAAGTTGTTGTTCCAACTGGCATGCACTTTAACACACAAAAAGTCAACACCATAAACACACCTTCCACATACTGGTAAGGTCATAGCTAATTTGTTTCCATCACATGTGAAAAACTGGAACGTTTTAACCAGGCGGCTGCAACTCTCTTTATTGAATCTCGAATCTCAATCTCAGATCTAAATTTAACTATTAACACAGTGTTCATTACGGTTGTATCTGATACTTTGTTTTTCAAATATTGTATCTACTGAATGTAAATACCTTAGAAATTCAACATTAATCTGCAAGGAATTCATGATGTCAGTGATGTAAAAGTTCCACTGCATTTCAGTTAACTGAGTATTAATTTTTAGACAGATTTAAAATTGTTCCTTATGCAGTCTGTTTTCCTTCCCCAACTGCCCTCTCTCTGTGCAGCCACGTCCTCTCTCCACATGCCTCTCACATGCTCGTTCATTCAGCCCATCCTTCTTGCAGCCTACTTTTTCTGCAACCAGCTCCTCCCCCAACCCACCCATGCAGCTTCCTCTCCCACACCCCTACTGCAATAACGTCCATTTCTCATTCCCCTTGCAGCAACCTCTCCCTCCATTCAGCCTTCCATTGTTCTTGTCCCACTACCCCTTCTTATGGTTTGTTTCCCTTGTAGTTGTTCATAGAAATCATTCATAGAACCCCTGCCGTGTGGAAACCTGCCCTTCGGTCCAACAAGTCCGCACCAACCTTCGGAGCATCCCCCCCCAAACCCATTCCCCTATAACCCACCTAATCTATGCATCCCTGACCACTATGGGCAGTTTAGCATGGCCAATCCACTTAGCCTGCACATCTTTGGACTGTGGGAGGAAACTGGACCATCCGGAGGAAACCCACGCAGACACAGGGAGAATGTGCAAACTCCACACAGTCACCTGAGGGTGGAATTGAACCCGGGTCCCTGGTGCTGTGGTGCCGCCCCAATGTGTTCTCATCTCCACCAGCACCCCACCTTCCCCTCCTGATATCTGGAGCAACATCCTTGCAGCGTTAGTTGCAGGCAGCTCTTATTGCCAAAGGAGCATCAGTAGGGTACTCCCTTACTGCCCGCACTTGCTTCTGTAACTGCTCACTGCTGCTCCAATTGCACGCTGCTTGTCTTTTGCAATTTCTGCTGCCTTTCTGTTCTGCTTATGGAGGTAACTTTGCCCTGATCAGTTGCTCCCCAGGAGTGAACTTCCCAGAGAGTTTTGGGATTTGCTCTTTGCCCCCCCTGTATTTTGAGTATTGTCTCCCATCCACAACCCAGCCCCTCTCAATATTAGTATTGTGTTTCAGGGCTAAGATGCTTCTAGATAGTAGAATGAAATGCTCTCTCAAGCATAATTGCCTTGTGAAATAATAAAATCTACTGATTTCTTCTTTTACATCCAAATGCTTTCTTACTCTTTTAACAGAAAAATTCAAAGATTACTCCCTGCACCTGGTGTAAATGTCTGAGGTCGTCAGCTGAAATGATTGAAAATACAAACTCTTTTGGAAAAGCTGAACTATTTTGCTCAGTCAACTGCCTTTCCGCATTTCGAGTGCATGTGGTAACTACACAAGGTAGTGGTATAATTTCTTCAAATGTTAACTGAAGCATCAGGAAACTTTGATTGCATTAGGTCTGTTCGGCAGGCCAAATCACTTTGTATCTCTGAAGCCATTAGTTTTTAGGTCGGAAATAGTGAAGTACTTTTTGTTTGTCAGTCTCCCCTGTTGCAGTACTTAGTTATGATTGTGTCATGATGCAATCTCACTTTGCATTCCAACAAATATCACATTACTAGAACAAGAAAACCTTACATCTGCACAGCTGTGGGTTTTTTTATTCTTCTGTTTTCAGAGCTGGCCTTCATTAAGGCCACTTCCTTGAGATGTATTATATAGAATTAGAGAGCAGAGGCTAGAATTATCATGAACTTGGAAAAGTTAGAAATAATGTCCTACTGATGAGATTCACTTCCTGCACTTAGTGTTTCATATGAAGCTTGGTTAAAAATACAAATCTGTTTCAGTTGGAAAAGGCTGAATTTGATGTGTAACTACAGATCTAGTTGTAGGTTATTATTTTGAAATGGTTTATTTATCTGACTTTGTGTTCAAATGGAACATGTTCCTATTTGGTGAGGGTATAATGTGATCAGGATACCTTTTCTGTCTTCTGTAATCAAACGTTCCATTGAGACAAATATATAAGTTATTGAATGCTTTCTGCAATTATGCATGATTGATGTCTGTGATATGTGAACACTGCGTCACATCATTAAGAATAAAGGTGCTGTTGGGTTTATAAAAATGATTTTGGCCAATTTAGTTCACTGACTTTGGTATTTTATATTTCTCTGGTGAGAAATGATACTTGTAGTTAATGTAGCTTTTTTGGACATGAAATGATTTTGTACTTGTGTCCACTTAGGTACTAGTGTTCAATGCAATTACTGTAAAGTGACGATGACGCCTCAGTACCACCTTGCTATGTCAGATGGTAGTATTCGGAATTTCTGCAGTTATAACTGTGTTGCATCATTTCAGGTACGATTTTAAAATAAATTCTTTTCTTTTCCCATTCAACTTTCCTCAACTCAACAGGATAAATTGCCCTTCTGTGTTTATTACCTTTGGGACAATGTCCCATATCATGTTTGGGTATAAAATGTGTTCTTGGTGTTTGCAGTTCATGTTAAGGAATAAGGGAAGTGACTTAGTAAAGTGGAAAGGATGTTACTTCAACATCCTTTCAATTTTGTTCATCTTTAGCTTGTTCAGTTTGCTTAAGAAAGAGTTATGTCCATATTGCGTTTATTTTTGATGGCCAATTCATTTAATGTTGTGAGAGCTCCAAGGATTAGATTATGATGAGAGTTTATGTAAATTTAGGTTTGCATTCCAGGAATATAGAAAGTTAAGGAATGATGTGGATGAGGTTTTTAGGATTTTAAAATTAGTTGTTGGGGTAAGTAGAGAGAAATAATATCTGTTTTGGGAGTCTGGAGTGCACAACATTTGCAGAAGAAAATTTTTAAAAATACTTTTAAATGCAAAGGTTCGTCGATTTATGGATCTCTGCCCCAAAAAAAGCATTAGGTAGCTTTTCAATTAATTATAAATCTGAGATTGATTTTTATTTTGCTAGCCAAGGAAATGAAAGGATATGAAGCCAGGACAAATGGATGGAATTAAAATGCAGATCAACTGCAATGTCATTGAATACTTAAACAAGTTTAAAAAGCTGAGTTGACTTACTGTGTATTTCTATATTTTTATGTTTTTGATTTAACTTTATCCAGTCTGTGTTAATATGCTTATTACAATAATGCATTTTATCTTCTATTTATTCTAATGTTCTATTTGATGAACTGTATATTATGCTGTATGCTTGTGAAGAGAACTGTTGAATATTACATTTTGCATCCCCACCCCCGCCACTTTCGGTAGCTCCCAAAATGCAACAGCTTTAATCTACAGACACCGCAGTTATTTCATGTAATTCATGTGCAATTACAGCTGTATCGACGCACCTCAAGTATGCCATCATGTGCTGCATGCATAGCACTTGAACTGTATTGCACTTGTGCTAATCTCCAATTTGAGAATTGAGAAGTAAAGAATGAATATTTACATATTTTTAATGAATGAAGCACATTTTTGGAAAAAAATATATAATTGAAAACTTGAATGAGAGTGGTGGCTGTATGCAGTGTTTAAGTCCTACTGGTATTATTTATTGTTTGAACCAATAAGTTCAACCTTGTTGTGTGATCATAGTCATCTTTGTTTAACAGTTAAATTGCATGTAGGAAAGATTTTGTTTCAGTGTGAAGTGAAAATTATTAATTAAGTTGTTTCAATGCAATTTGTATTAGCTGTATTAAAAGATAAAATAAGCTATTTATTGATTTCTCTAGTTTGCGTCTCCTTCTTTTCTAGGGATTATTCAGTCAGGCTGCTCCAGGCTCTCAAGCTGTTGTACCCCTATCTCAGGGTCAGTTGGCAGTAAACATTCCAACAACTGCTTCAGTAGTGGCTGGTGCTCCTGTAGTTTCTTCAACTTCTGTCACTACATCAGCAGCAGCTGGGTTACAGAGACTTGCACAATCCCAGCAAGTGACTGTGGCTCGTTCACTAATCAGGCTGAAGTGTCAGTATTGTCAGCGTTTGTTCTCCTCTAAGCCTGAGCTGCTCGAGTACAAGGTAAGATTTTCTGATGAAAGATAATTTAAACTTTCTGTGCACTTTTCCAGGGAGAACTCTCCAATATCAATGCTCTTGAGTTGGAGAACATAGTGAATCTTGATTGAAAATGGTGATAGCATTCAAAGTTTCATTTCCTTAGCAATGGATTTTTAAGTTTTCCCCTCATTTTAATGTGCCTATTTCTCCTTCAGGTTTTGTTTCTTGCCAGTTAAACCTCAAGGGATGTTGAAGAGCAATTCATTGGCCTAGTGGAGAGTAACATTAAGCTAGTTCCCGTTTAGCTCAGCTGAGGCAGAAATAAAGGCTTGAAAATTGGATTGTGTATCTCTGAGCTAAAGAGGAGAAAATCCTTAACTTTAATGCTGTTCACTTACCACCTAATAGAAATCATAGATGATAAAATTTGTAGCTCGGGTTGCAGATGCAGTTGTTCGTTAGCTTGTCTGCTTGGTTGTCCTGTGGTGTGCAGACATTTCGTTATCATTGTAAGCAACATGATCAGTGCAACCTCTAATTAAAGCGTTGGTGTTCTGCTCCGTTCTGAATTTATATGATCCTCTGGTGTGAGGGGGTCTTGTCACTTCCGGTTCTGTTTTCTAGCAGCGGTTTGTATATGGGATCTATTTCTATGTGTTTGTTAATGGAGTCCCGTGTTGATAACCAGGCCTCCAGAAATTCCCTTTCATATCTGTTGTTCGGTTGTCTCACTATAGTCACTTTGTCCCAGTCGAGTTGATGGCCCTCACTGTCTGTGTGAATCGAGACAAGTGAATATTGGTTATATGTCTTTTTACTGCCAGCTGGTGTTCATGTATCCTGGTCGTCAGTTTCCTCCCGGTTTGTCCAATGTGTAATATTCATTGCAATCGCGAACAACAGACATGCAAGGGAATTTCTGGAGGCCTGGTTCTCAACACGGGACTCCATTAACAAGCACATAGAAATAGACCCCGTATACAAACTGCTGCCAAAAAACCGAACCGGAAGTGACAAGACCCACCACACCAGAGAATCATATAAATGTGGAACGGAGCAGAACACCAACGCTTTGATTAGACGTCGCACTGATGGCACTACCTAGAATGGTAACAAAACATCTGCGCTTGACGGAACAATTGGCTCGCCAAGCTAAAGAACAACTGGATATAATTTTCTGTTTTAGTTGGGGATCTTCAACTTCTCACATCTTGGTCTCCTCGAGGTCAGGCTTTATCATTTCTTTAATTGTAAAATCCACAGAAATATGCCATATATACTAAATTGATAGTCATACAGCATGGAAACAGACTCTTCTTTGGTCCAATCAGTTTACGCCGACCATGTTCCCAAACTATGCTAGATCCACCTGCCTGCCTTTGGCCCGTATTCCTCTAAACCTTTCTTATTCGTGTACTCAGCCAATGTCTTTTAAACCTTCTAACTGTACCTGCATCCAACATTTCCTCTGGCATACAGCAAACTTTTTATTAACTGCCATCTATGTGACCAGGTGTGAACTGATTGATCAAATATTCTGGATAATCAAGAGGTACGCATAAATGCAGTAAACCTTGACCAAGTGAAGCTTCGAGACATAAACGACCTTGAAAAAACCAATGTAAAAACACACAATAATACAAACATAATGCAATGGGTATACACTCATTTTTATACTTGGTTTACCGCATAAAACTTGGAAATCACAATATTTGAGGTATATAATTTTTCTCAGTCTGTCAAAACTGCCAGTTGATAAGGTGCTGGTTAAAACAAAGTTTGCTGTACTTAGTTTTTAAATACTTAATATGTGGAATCTATCCATGTGTTCAATTTCATTTTGCAAAGTAAGCTGTTTCGGCCTTTTTGTATGAACTGTTCCACTGGATAATGACATAGTTTGATTAAACAGCATAAATTTATCAGTGGAGTAGTATAATAAGTGGAGAATTGGTTTAGGAAAAGAATAATACTTGCATTTTATTCAACAATGAACGTTTAGAGGAGTTTTGCTGGCAATGTTCATAATTACAAATGGATAAAGAAGGAAACTGCAGTGTTCACTGAATAACATTTAAGATCATCACCAAATGCACAGAAGTAGAGAATAGGATTTATTTTAATCAACTCAGATTCATAGAATAGTTACAGCATGGGAAGAGAGCATTCAGTCTGCAACTCAGCCAGTCTCATCACCTACCCTTTCTCCGTTACAGAACATTTTTTTTCTTTAGGTAATTACTTAATACCTTTTTGAAACCAGCACACAGTTGGGCAGTGCATTCCAGATCCCTAACCATTCATGTAGAAAGAAACATTTTCTTTGTAAGACACTTGGTTTTTTTGCCATTCACCATAAATTGGTGGCCGGTAGTTCTTGACTGTAAGGCTAGTAGAATAATTTCTCCTCTTCTACTGAATCCAGATCCCTCATGATTTTGACAGCTTTATCAAATATCCTGTTAAACATTGTCAAATATTTCCTCATAAGTGAAGGACCTCTTTCTTAGAATCATTTGTAAACAAAGAATGCCTTATCAAAAATGAATGGCAATCTTAAAGGCAAGTGGATAAGCTTAAAGAAACATTCTGAAGTAGTACAGAAGCAATTACTTGGAGCTAAAGTGAATAGCTATTTCAGAGAGCCACTGTGGCTGTCATGAATCAAATGACTCCTGCAAACAATGTGTAATGGACTCTAAGATTCTATTATTTAAATATTGTATCCAAACACCTTGTGATACTTGACATAAAATTGAAGATTTAAATTCAGAACTAGTCAGTTTACAATTAAGAAATCTATGCTTTTGAAATGTTAAATGTATACAAAGTTTTTTTTTTTAGTTTAATTGAACCTGTTGTATTTCAAGTGAAACCATTTACTTTTTATTGTTGGATCTGTATGAGTAAAACACATTCTTGGGATACCTTTATTGGATATCCTTTTTTTTTTACCAGAGTGTCAACAGTTACCTTTAATTTTCTTTACACAGGGTAGAATGGTTCAGTTCTGTGGAAGATCTTGTTGTGATGAATACAAAAGGATCAATTCTGTGGTTGCAATATGTGAATACTGCCGGTCAGAAAAGATTGTTAAGGAGACAGTAAAGTTTTCGAGTGTTGACAAGCCATTTTGTAGTGAAGGTAATGGGTGTGTTTTGAAATAGTTATTTTGTTGGATGAGCTAAACTTTCAGCCCTCAAAGTGCAATTCATATAAGCAATAATTTATGACAAACTTTTGTTTTGTGTAATTTCTATTAAAGACCTGTATGATTTCCTGTTCCTGTGGGGGAAAAAATGAAGATAGTGCAAAGCAAATATAAAATCTGAAACAAATCGGAACAATTTGGCATTTCACGAGCTTCCACCATCGGGTCTTAAGAGGTGATTTGAGCTGAAAGAGATAAACATAACCACTTTTCGCTCTATACTGTGTAGCTGTATTTCTGCGCAGCAATCTAGAATGCCTTGCAGCAGACCATCAACATGCTGTACACATCCAAAACACCCTTTAAGATGCAGCAATCTTGAATGCACAATGCAGTGCAGGAAACAGGCTGTACAAATAAAAATTAGAGGAAGCATTGCATACAGCCTGGCATATACTGTATGATAACTAGCAGTAATTAAGAATACATGGAGCAAGAAAAGCCTTTGTTTGATCCATCAAACTTGACTTTTGCAACTTTCCATTTACAATTTCTACCCTCGGCAAGCTATGTAATCTTTCAAATAAAACAAAATACCCCTTGATAAAATATCACAGAAGATTATGTTGAGATTTTCTCCCCATCGCTTGAAATTAGTATATGTTAAGACTTTTTCCACCATTCCTTGAAATTACTTTAAGAAAACTTGGCAAAACACTAACAGTTACTGTTACTTAATCATGCTATTAGTTTATTCTACTAACATTCCCAAGTTCTCTGCAAACTTGGAAGATGTTTCTTTTTGTTCTTCATGGAGTCACTTAGCTCCCCCTCAATGCACTATACTTTATTTTGAATCCAGCTGACGGAAAAGAAGAATTTGGAATCTATAACTAAAGTTAATAAGAAGTGCATGTTTTCCCGAGAGAGACAGAAAATGCGCATCGATTAGGTGATCTGCTGCTCATCAATGTTTCATTGAGCTTTTTTGGAACAAAATAAGACTGGTGGAGTAGCAGATAGTGAAGGGAACTGTTGGAGAATGCAGCAGAATATAGACAGATTGGAGAGTTGGGCAGAGAAATGGCAGATGGAGTTCAATCCAGGCAAATGCGAGGTGATGCATTTTGGAAGATCCAATTCAAGAGCGAACTATACGGTAAATGGAAAAGCCCTGGGGAAAATTGATGCACAGAAAGGTCTGGGTATTCAGGTCCGTTGTACCCTGAAGGTGGCAACGCAAGTCGATAGAGTGGTCAAGAAGGCATACGGCATGCTTTCATTCATCGGACGGGGTATTGAGTACAAGAGTTGGCAGGTCATGTTACAGTTGTATAGGACTTTGGTTCGACCACATTTGGAATACTGCGTTCAGTTCTGGTTGCCACATTACCAAAAGGATATGGATGTTTTGGAGAGGGTGCAGAGGAAGTTCACTAGGATGTTGCCTGGTATGGAGGGCGCTAGCTATGAAGAGAGGTTGAGTAGATTAGGATTATTTACATTAGAAAGGCGGAGGTTGAGGGGGGACCTGATTGAGGTCAACAAAATCATGAGGTATAGACAGGGTGGATAGCAAGAAGCTTTATCCCAGAGTAGGGGACTCAATTACTAGGGGTCATGATTTCAAGGTGAGAGGGGAAAAGTTGAAGGGAGATATGCGTGGAAAGTTCTTTACGCAGAGGGTGGTGGGTGCCTGGAACACGTTGCCAGCGGAGGTGGAAGAGGTGGGCACGATAGCATCATTTAAGATGTATCTAGACAGATACATGAATGGGCAGGGAGCAGAGGGATACAGATCCTTGGAAAATAGGCGACAGGTTTAGGTAGAGGATCTGGATCGGTGCAGGCTTGGAGGGCCGAAGGGCTTGCTCCTGTGCTGTAATTTTCTTTGTTCTTTGTTCTTAAAATAGGAGACCTAAGATGGGATGGGTCGTGACACACGACTGAATCCAGGAGTCTTAGCTGGTTTTCATTGGTTAGTACCACACTGGACAGGGCATTTACCCAAAATGTGGGCCAAAAGAAGTTCTTAAAACTGATTCAGATTAGGTATGACTTCAGTTGGCAAAGGGACAGGAATGGAATTACACAAAGGACATTAGGTGAGGGTTGGGTTCCAACGAAAAAAAATCCCTGTTTCCTATGTATTAAAATGCTAATTTTCATTTTTAAAGTTTGTTCTCATTACATTACTTGCAGGTTGCAAACTTCTTTACAAGCACGACTTGGCAAAACGTTGGGGACTTCACTGTAAATCTTGTAGTTCCTGTTCGCAGTCATCAAAACGCCTACTTAACCAGCAGTTTGGAGGGAAAATCGAAGAATTTTGTAGTGAAGAATGTTTATTCAAGTTTACTGTGCTGTTTTATCAGGTGAGTAAACTTCTTCATTTGTAGAAATCATAATTGAACAGCTTTGAATATTAATTGATATGAAAGTGCATTACCTTCCTTTTCAGTTGTTTGTGCTGATTTTAAAAAAAAAACTGCCGAAATTTTCCGAGTCACTTGAAATCTTTCAGTTGCCAGGACAGAGTGCAGACAGGCAAGTTAAAGAGTGACATCAATTCTAAGTTGTTATCAAATCATATTCGATTGAAGATCGATTTAATCTGCATGTTCAGCTTTCATATTCAAATCAGATTCAGATGAAGAGTATCAGTTGTGCACAGGGAGTTTAGAGTTTTTCCAGTGAAAAAATATCTTCTCCAAGTATATTTAAGCATTGTTATGATCCCAGCTAATGGTAGTACTAGAAAAGTTTGATCCCAGAATAAAATCTAGCTTGGTAGATCAGATGTTGAATTTTTGCAGTTGCTTAATGTAGTTAGTAACACAAACATATTCACATGAGGTTGCAAGTGTTCCTTAACCACAGAACGTAGATTTATTGCACAAGAGAAAATTTTTGATGTAGTAAATATGTATGAAGTAAATATACATTTTATATACATGTAAAAAAAACACCATTCGAACAATCTTTGCACACATGTCAAGGCATCATTTCAACAAGTTTCCCAATACTTCAGTTTTACAAATACTCAGTTCCAGAAAAATTTCAATCCTTTCCCAATTTTTTAAGTTTTTAACTTAACTGACTCTTCGTAATTTATTTTCCTTGGACTGCACAGAAAGTTTGACAATTGCTTTTCGGGTCCTCTGGTATGAACCTTTCACAATTTTGATGGCCTAAACTTTATCAGTTCCACCTAATTGAAGATTCCCCTGAACTGAAAGCTTGAACCTCCTGCTGGAGAAACTGTTCCCCCTTCTGAACTGAACTCTGTATTCTTCTGAAATGGAATCAAAAATGAAATTTTATGCAGTTCCAATTTGTTGTAAACTCAACAGTTAAGCATTCATCCATTCCATCTACAGGAGTTCTGCTAGACACTTGACGGTCACATGCTTTCTTGGAATTGATGCAGTTGGGTCACTGTTTTGAATGTTCTACCTGATCAAGTAAAACTACCTTCTCAGAACTGATCCAAATTTCAAAATATTTGTCTAGAATCTTTCATCACAACATGAAAGATACAGAGCAGATTGAAGAGATCAAGAGTGATTTGCAAATCTGCCGCAGAGTGAACGACAGCACCACCGTCATCCACAAATAATGAATCTTGTGTCTTTTGTCGTTACTTTAGTTCTGGCACAAAGGCAACAGGTTAAATACTGAAAATGCTGGAGTAACTCAGCAGGTCTGCAGATTCCCTCTCCACAGATGATGCCAGACCTGCTGAGTTTGTCCAGCACTTTTTTTCATTCAAGATCTCCAACATCCACGGTACTTGCTATTATTTCAGATCAACTACTTTTCTGTCATGGTGATATTTAATACTCACACCAGAGGAATGTTTATACTTGAGGTGAACAGCCACTCTTGGGTCGTTTGTAAATAGTATGGGGCTATCTCAGTCTAATTGGGCACCAGCTCACAATTTAAAGATGTCTGTTTCAGATCTCCCATTCATTCAAGACAGTTGCAATCCATCATCATGAAAGGGTTGCAGGGCACACAAAAGCAGTAGAGAAATTTCATCTGCAGTTCTTCTGCTATATCGTCCGGAGTCATTAGGAAGACCATTGACTAGATATTAGTGTCCTCTTGGTGCCAACTCACAAGCGGCCAAGCAAAACTCCTGCAAATTCAGCTGTGATGTTCAGGACAAAATGTCTGAAAAACATCTCCCCTGCCAGTTCCTGATTTCACAACTTTCAAATGGCCAGAATTCCAAATGAGGGACAAAGAAAACATTTCAAAAACCCCTTGAAGTTCTCCTTGAAGCATGGCAGCAATGTAATTGATGACTTGAAAGAGCTTACTATTAGTAGTTCAAACTGTTGACAACCTGTCCATCAAGGTACATCGTGCCAGGAGTCCAAATGCCTTAATGATGAGGAATGGTCGCAGCAGAGAGAGAAAATGAAGTAGATCCTAAACTCAGGATAATACTTTCTCATGGGACATCACATGCCCAAAGATACGCGATTTCAGTCATAGAAATTCACAATTCGGCAAAGTTGTGATCTCAAATTGAAGGACAGCCAATGATACAAGTGGTCAGTGGAAAAAAACTACTTCACCCTTGAGAGTTATTAAATAAACTAATAGATCATAATAGCTGCCTTTGATTCATATTTGAATCAGCTAAATAAGCTTCATTCTGCTTAGTCCCTTTTGAACACTAGGTGGTACTCTTGTTCTCAAAAGCTAATTTTGTTGTGTATTTTTTAACCCTTGGTGAGGAAGGAATGTTTATTCAATCTTATTCAAATTGTAGTTTCTTCCAAGGTTCGATTATCTTAAACTGTCATCCTCTAGTTCCACAGAATAGCAGATTGTAAGCAAATCGTTTTAAATAAGATCAAAATATCCATTTTGTAAGAGAAGATATTTTCCACATGGGACTTTTCAATATAGTAACATGTTAAATTTTGATGTTGAAATATTTGATCTGCAGGAATGATTATTCCTGAAGAATCCAAAGTAGATTTTTTTTGATGATTGTCAGCTTAGATTCTGGGATCTCTTAATTCTCTTTCAAACCCACTTTCCAGAGTCGTTCATTCTGCTCTTCATTCTCGTTAAATTTACTGTGTCTTCCTGCTCTAGTTTCTATGTCCACAGTCCTGTCCCCTAGTTTCCTTTGTTGCTAAGCTGCTGCCATGTCCCGATAGCCACTTGGTCATCCTTTCTTCAACTAGTCTCACTGCCCAGCTCCAACTTTAGTCTTACCAATTCTTGGTGATTGCCATATTTTTAAAAGCTCTTTACAGGAGACATTCCAAGCAATTATGTAAAAAGAAAGAGAAGGTCTAGAGTGTTGGGTTGGGGCAAAGGAAGAGGGCAGTTAATGGAATGGGGGTGCTTAGGAGTTGGTCCAAGTAATGGAACTGAGGACCACAGTGTAAGAGAAATGGTGCAAGGTAAAGGTATTGGATGCAAGCATGGGTACGTGAAGGAATATGAGGGAAGTTGGCTGGTGTATACTTTGTGATTTCATTTGGATATTTCCCCTCCATGACCTGAACACTATTTGAATCCTAACTCCCATCTCCATTTGACCCAGAAACAGTGTAACAAGAAAAATTAATGATTTCTTCAAAACGTCTGAATTTGTAGTTTTTAGTCATCTGTTGTAAACCTTAACAACTTGAGCCTCAGAAGGATTTATCATCTGATTAATAGAATGCTGAGTTAGAACTTTTTGAGGAAAGTTTACTCCATATCTACGTAGAGTTTAAGTACAGGTAGATCATGACTTTCAATGAGGAGCCAAGTAGCAAGGTGCTGTTTTCATGGAGTTTAAAAGAGGAGCAGACAACCTCTATCAGCAGCGTTTGTATTTTCACCTTTAACTGCAGATCTGTGTCCGCCTTGCTTCACTGTTTGAGTTGTATGTAAATCATTGTGAGCGTGAGGTTGTAGACATGCTCGCCGAGCCGGTGGATTTGGTTGCAAATATTCCATCACCCTGCTAGGTAACATCGTCAGTGTGCCTCTGGTGAAGCGCTGGTGTTCTATCCCGCTTGTTATTTATGTGCCTCAGTTAATTGGGGTGTTTGTACCACTTCCGGTTCTGTTTTTCAGTGTTTTGCACACAGGTTCTAATTGTGTGTTTGTTGGAGGAGTTCCGGTTAGAATACCAGGCCTCCAGGAATCCCCTGGCATGTCTCTGTTTGGCTTGTGCGCTTATGGATGTGAGGGACAAAAAGGGACACAGATTCGACTGGGACAACATATCCATAACTGCACAAGTCAAACTGAGACACACCAGGGAATTTCTGGAGACCTGGTATTCTAACCGGAACTCCATCAACAAACACATTGAATTCAACCCTTGTATAAACCACTGAGAAATGGAACTGGAAGCGGTACCAAACACCCCAACAGACTAAGGCATATAACTAACAAGCGGGACAGAACACCAACACATCACGAGAGGCACGCTGACTATGTTACTTAGCAGGGTGACGAAACATTAGCAACCAAACCCACTGACTCGGCGAATATGTCTACAACCTCATCCACACCCCGAGCTACAAATCTTCTCAAACATTGTGAGTGTATTAACCTCATCATTTATTTTACAGTAAACACTGACATTGAATAGAGTTGCAAACATGTCACTTTTCTACCGTGAGAGGGTGCTGGTGTACCTGGAGATTAGCAGCCGTGTCATCCCATCCAAAAATTAGTGCAAGGATAATTTCAAGGAATAGATAATTTTGTTTTCTGACTTTTCTGTTTGGATTTTGTTTTTAAGAGTGAATTTAATATTGGAACAGCTTGAATCGACAAAGCTCCAAAACTCCAATCAGTAGAGATCAAGATTCTAGTGGAAAGTTCTGAACTATGCAGTGTTTGTTTAAAGGAGGAATATCATCAAGCTATTGCGGGTGCTTTTCCTCTTCAAATCATACTATAGATCTGTGCACATAGTTTAAATCATCTGAAAGACAACCCTTGGACAATATTGTGCTCCTTTATTACTGCATGTCGATGTTGAGTTCAAATCCTGGTCTGTGACCTGAACAACTCAAAAAGGACATGTTCCAAATGAAAAAGTTGGCACATCATGAACGGACCTTCACTTAATTTACAAAATTTATTCAGTGGTGTTGTACATTTGAAATTGTAATTTTTTTTTTATTCTGTAGATGGCTAAGTGTGATTGCTGCAAACGTCAAGGTAAACTAAATGAATCTATTAAATGGCATGGACAAACTAAACATTTTTGTAACCTTCATTGTGTCCTTACATTCTGCAATCAACATCACTTAGCAGAAACAGCACCTCAAGAGGGTAAAGGTATTTAATTACAATTATTTTAGTTCTCCCTATGCTGCTGTTCTTTGAGTAGCTTTGAAACAAAATGTGTCTATATTGCTGTTAGAAAATGTTGCTTTGAAGCCAAGTCAACTTATTTCAATTTGTGCTTATTCCCTGTTGTACAAGTCAGAGTCATACAGCGTGGAAACGGACCCTTTGCTTCAACCAGTCTGTGGCAAACATGATCCCAACCTAAACTAGTCATACCTGCCTGCTCCTTGCCCATATCCCTCAAAACCTTTCCTATTCATGTACTTATCCAAATGTCTTTTAAACATTGTAATTGTACCTACATCCACCACTTTCTCAAGAAGTTCATTTCACACTCAAACCACCCTCAGTGTAAAGAATTTGCCTCTCATGTTTCTTTTTAAATCTATCTCTCTTCTAACCTTAAAAATGTGACCCCTAGTCTTGAAATCCCCCATCCGGGGGAAAAGACAACTACCACTAACTCTATCTATACCTCTCATTATTTTATAAATGTCTGTCAGGTTGCCTCGCAACCTCCTACCCTCCAATGGAAAATGTCCGAGCCGATCCGGCCTTTCTCTATGACTCAAATCTTCCATACTTGGCAACATCCTGGTACATCTCTTCTGAACATTGTCCGACTTAATAATATCTTTCCGATAACTGGGTGACCAGAACTGGACACAGTATTCCAGAAGATGCCTCATCAATGTCCTGTACAACCTCAACATGACTTCCTAAATCGAATACTCAAATAACTGAACAATGAAGGCAGGCATGTCAAATGCCTTTTTAACCACCCTGTCTATATGTGACTCAAACTTCAAAGAATTATGTACCTGCACCCCCTAAGTCCCTTTGTTTGACAACACTACCCAGGCCCTACCATTAATTAAGCCCTACCCTGATTTGTTGTTCCAAAAAGCAGTACATCGCAGAACTCCATCTGCTATTTTTCAGCCCATTGACCCACTTGATCAAGATCCCTTTGTTATCTTAGAAAACTTTCTTCACTGTCTACTACGCCACCAATTTCGGTGTCATCCAGAAACTTGCTATGCCTTCTATATTCTCATCCAAATGATTTATATAAATGACAAACGAAAGAGGACTCAGAATCGATCCCTGCAGAACGTTGCTGGTGACAGGCCTCCAGTCTGAAAAGCAATCCTCCACTACCACACAAAAGCAATCCTCCACTACCACACTGTCTCCTGCTGTTAATCCAATTATTTATCCAATTGGCAAGCTCAGCCTGAATCACGTGACCTAACTTTACTAATTAGTTTACCATGTGGAACCTCATTGAAGGCTTTACTAAAATCCACACAAATGGGTCTAGACCTGAAACGTCAGCCTTCCTGCTCCTCTGATACTGCTTGGCCTGCTGTGTTCATCCAGCTCTCCACCTTGTTATCTCAGATTCTCCAGCATCTGCAGTTCCTACTATCTCTCAAACAGTGTCTACTGCTCTGCCATCATCAATCTTTTTGGTAACTTCCTCAGAACTCAGTCAAGTTTGTGAGACATGATTTTCCTCTCAAAACCACGCTGACTATCCCTAATCAATTTTTGCCTCAATGTCCGTAAATCCTGTCTTTTGTAATCATCCCCAACATTTACCCACAACTGAAGTCAGACGCACAGGTTTCTCCTTGCAACCTCTCTTAAAGGTACAACACTAGCCACCCTCCAGTCATCAGGCACCTCACCCAAGGTTATAGATAATGCAAATATTTCTGCAAAGGGTCTGGCAATTTCCTCCCTTACTTCCCACAATATTCTGGGATACATCAGACCAGGTCCTGGAGATTTATCTACCTTTGTATTTTCTAAGACGTCCCAAGCTTCCTCCTCTGTAATGTGATCCTTTTTTTAAAATATCAAAGTTTATTTCTGTGCATTCTCCAGACTCCGTTTCTTTCTCCACAGTAAAAACTGACGCAAAGTATGCATCTAATATCTCTCCTATCTCCTGGGTTTCAACACAAAGATGACCTCCTTGATCTTTGAGGCCCTACCATCTTTTTAGTTGCCCTCATTTTCTTAATGTATTTGTAGAACCTTTGGATTATCCTTGACCTTATCTGCCAATGCAGTCTCATATCCCCTCTTTGCCTTCCTGATTTTTTTCCTTAAGAATACCCCTACACTCTTTGTCTTGATTATGAGATTCAATTGAACGAAGTTGCCTATATCTAAAATAAGATTCTCCTTTATTCGTGAATGAGAGTTTAAATTTAAACTAGTCGGAACTACTATTTGGCAGATTGTATCATGCACACATGGATTTCTTGATGCACATTGACAGGTTGAGGTTTTCATGTACATGTCTTAGTATACTGGTAAACAAAGTTTAGACATCACTACTGTGTCATACATGATCAACGTATTGTCAAATATTGAGATTCCTTCAGCTTGATCTTCAGTGATGTAATGCAGATCACTGATGTATTTAATAACAAATGATAATATACAAGTCAAACATGATTGTCGTTCTTAAATAAGTTATGATTCTCTAATATTTGTATGTGTATTTGTGTTGGCATGTAATCTGTAATATCTGAAAATAGAGGTTTAAAAACTACAGAGTTTCAGTACTAAGACCATTACTATCAGTGTTCACACATAAACATACAGTTTGAACCTGAATTCTTCTCTAATGCTACATCAGTAAACAAGTTATCTTATGAAAGCATTATAAATCATTAACCACGTTTTATTCAACATTCCATGGTATAAAATGACACATGCATTGATTCAAAGTAACGCAGCTACAAAACCTGAATGCTGTGGCACGTTACTTGGAAACTAACCATGGCAATATCCAGTTCCCAAATTTTTTTTTGAGTATTTAACATTTTGATATAAATTGATGTGTCTGCAAAATATCGAGTTTTTAAAAAAATACAGATGTAGATGTAAAGACACAACTTTGTAAAAAGTGTAGGCCCTTTGGGCCTCAGCTGCATTCAATAAAATTATGACTGATTTGATTCCTTCATAATCCCACTTACCCAGGATTCATGTTTATCCCATTTGTTATCAATAATCTATTTAACTCTGCCTTTAAAATGTTCAAAGGCTCTGCTTCTTAGAGGAAGAGAGCTCCTAAAACTAACGCCATGCCATGAGAAAAAGTTCTCCTCATCTCTTTCTTAAATAGTTGACCAGATTTTCCAAAGAGTAACAGTCTCACACAGATTGCGACTTTTTTTTAATGCATGGAGAGCGCTCCACATTTCTGACAGGAGATTCCAATGAAGGCTCCTTCAGAATTGCAGAGCTCTACTCCCAATCTGATAGTTCATTTATTTTGCACAACTGATTGCAGTGAGGAGAGTTCCAGCTGTGTAGGATGCCAGGTAAGTAGAGTTCCAGCTGGGCAGAGAATAGAGTGCAAGGTGACAAGGGGGCCAGATGCATAATCCAGTGTTAAGGATAGGCTGAAGCAGGCAGGAGAAGTCGGGTCTCTGTTGGGGGAGGGCGGAGGTTGCAGGGAAATGGTGCATTGGAGGATGGTGGAATGAGCTCCTTTGGGAGCTGAAGGGTGAAGTTGGCTTTTGAGGGGGTAAAGTGGGTGATCAAGTCCTGTGGTGTGTCAGGTCACTGTCTGGGAGATGTCCGTGGTTTGGGTAGAGTAGTAGTTGGGAGTGTGGGAGGTAAATATGGGCTCAGTTAACTAATTACTCAGGAATTAACTATATATTTAATAGTCTGGCTCTTCCTGGGTAAGTATTTACTTAGTTTCATCAGAACAAATGGAATATCCCAAATTAAATGGCTACCTTGAAACAGTTCAAGAATAGGAGAATTTCCCAGTAGAACCTTCCTGGCAAATTGAAGTTCCTTCAGGGTCTGCTACGATGGTGACTCCAAAAGGTTCCCATGGGCAACTCAGTCTATGCTGGAGTAACAACTGCCCCGCCATCAGAAAATCCAGGTACCTATTTTAAAACAGTGACCACTAGTTCTAGATTGTTGCTCAGTCATTTGAGTGTAGGATTTGGGAAGCCATGCTGAGGTTGCATGGGACATTGGTGAGATCTCTTCTGGAATGCTGTGTCCAGTTCTGATCACCCAGTTATAGGAAGGATATTATTAAGCTGGAGAGGGTTCAGAAGAGATTTACCAGGGTTTTGCTGATCATAGAAGGTTTGACTTGTAGAGAAATGTTGGATAGGCTTGTACTTTTTCACTGGAAGGTAGGAGGTTGAGAGGCAACCTGATAGACATTTATAAAATAATGAGAGGTATAGATAGAGTTAGTGGTAGTTGTCTTTTCCCCTAGGATGGGCGATCTCAAGATTAGGGGGCATATTTTGAAAGTTAGAAGAGGGAGAGATTTAAAAAACGACATGAGAGGCAAATTCTTTAAACAGAGGGTGGTTCGAGTGTGGAATGAGCTTTTTCATGAACATGTGGATGTTGGATACAATTACAACATTTAAAAGATGTTTGGATAAGAATGTGAATAGGAAAGGTTATGAGGGATATGGGCCAGGAACAGGCAGGTGTGACTAGTTTAGTTTAGGATTATGTTTGACATGGACTGGTTGGACCGAAGGGCTGTATGGCTGTATGACTCTGTAAGAGAAAGCTTCCTCTCCACATCCACACTGTTAAAACTCTTCAGGGTCTTGTATGTTTCAAGCAAATCGCCACTTAGTCTTCTAAATTCCAGTGAGTACAAGCTTAACCTGACCAATCTTGTTTCATAAAATGATCTGAATACATCCCGTAAATGAAATGGAATTTGTAATTCTGGTTTGATTATGATGTTGAAACACTGAATTTGTTCTCAGAGGATTACATGAAAAGTTGGTACTTTTTTTTATAAAACAGAATTCAACTTTGATTATTAAAAATAACCAAAGAACAGTTCTGAAGAAGGGTCACTGAACCCAAAATGTTAACTGTGCTTTCTCTCCGCAGACGCTCATGGATCTGCTGAGTTTTAACAGTAATTTCTGTTTTTGTTTCAACTTCAGTTGGTGTTTGGTGATGAACTAGAAGCTACTCAAGATTAAATGTTTTGTATGATTACTAATAATAAATACCATCTTTCAACAGTACCAGTACCAAATCTTCCTAGTGTCCATCGAAAGGAGTCTACTCCTGTTATAGCAAACGTGATGTCGTTAGCTAACACCCCACCAGTACAGAATGCTGCTAATTCAACAACAAGTTTAAATGGTATGGAGCTGCTACAAGCTTGAATTTAACATTTGCCACCTTTTAGCAAAACAGTGTGTAGAGAATTGAACATTTGTTGATTGCTCATTAGTGGAAGACAAATTCCCATCTAATTATGTTGTGCTGTCCTGTCTGAACTTCAGTGCTGTTTTCTTTTTATTGATGTTTTAAAATTTCCTATTTCTGACGGAACATCTTTGTAATTTACCAACCAACAAGCAACCTGATAGTTGCCTGCTTCTAACTCCTTGTCGCTATTCATGAGCAGGTACTGGCAGTTGGTTTGAATAAGTGAATTGCTCCATTTCTTTCTTTCCTTCCCTCCCCATTGTCTTCATGGGACTTATTCTTCTATTGTTTATTGCATCCCTTGCCCAAAAAGTCAATTTTGGAAGCTTATTTTGTTGGGGGAGCCCACTTCCTGCACAGCATAATGGAGCTCTGCTATCCTACAGGCCCCAGCAGCCTTTGAATACCCCTATCAAGTGGCCTTTTCACATGAAAGCCTTCAAGGAAGTATTACCAGGCACTTAGACTGAGGAGTCATTAGGTTACAGTATCTGAGCTTTTATTCTTCATTGTACAGTCATTCAAACACTTCCAATGAGATAGGTGGATAGCAGCTGTGAATTCTGACTGATCAAGGTGAAATAATAACTTTTAACAGATTAGCAGCATGATTCTGGATAGATGATTGTCTGCTACTGTGAGCATTTTCCTCTATCTGAAGTTCCTTTTGTTTTGAATTGTCCATTGATTGCAGGCAACTACAGAACCATAAAAGTGCACACCACAGATGATTATTCAGCCTTTCTTATGTGCTTAGAACATTCACTTCAGCAATCTAAACATATTTAGTTGTCTCAGAGATAGTAGGAACTGCAGATGCTGGAGAATCTGAGA